TGCCAGTCACCACCTGCCCCGCATTAGCGAAGATGGTGGTGGTGAAGAGGCCGAAGGAGTAGACCCCTGGGGGTGGGGTGGGAGAGGGAGTTCATGCTGGGCCCTGATACCCCAGGGGCCCTCCTCCTGTGAGCCCCTGTGGCTCAATCTGGGCGCCTTGTTCCTGTGACCATCACTAAAGCACAGCTGGGAATCCCCCTAAAGCCATATCCCATTATCGCTGGGCCAAGGTTCTCTCCCCTTGGCACCACCATGAGGATACTCTGAGCCTCTTGCTTCTGTCCCCCTTGGATTACTACCATGTCAGGAGCGGGTCCTCCCCTGGAACCCCAAAATAGTTGGGCTAGGACACCTCAACAGCATGACATCAGGATTGGGCCCATGCCGGGAACCTCCTAGGACCATCTTGATGGCATTTCTGGGCCGCTTTAGACCTGCCCTGGACTCACTGTGACTGAGTTGATCATTTTTTTTCCTGGCTCAACAATCAGCCAGAGCTAGATCTCTCCAGCCCTCTGTCATAGGGACCACCATTTTGGATGAGCTCTGCCCTTCTACACCACGGCCACCGACTGTGGCTGGAACCACGCAGTGGGGTCACATCTTCCTGCTTGGGGTGGGGTGGGGGGTGGACTGGTGTTTGGCCTGGGCCTGTGTCCCCCTTTTCTGCATTGAGACTCTCCTTGTAGCAATCTGGGGCCCTGACCGTTGCCACCATGGTTGGCTTAGGCCCCACCATTGTGCCTAGAACCTCTGTTGTGCCTGGCCTTAGCCACATCCCTCTTCGCCTCATGAGGCACCATCATGGCAGTTCTAGGCTCTCTTCCCCATAAAAATTATTATGGCTGAATCTGGCCCGGATCTCCTTTGCATAGCTGACCCCCTGGCCACATCACTCACCCAGGAAGCGGACCAGCCTCCGCAGTGGGGGGCTGAAGCGGCAGCAGGCCCCAGACACGATGGTGCTCTCCCCGATGATGGGGATGGCTGAGGGTGGCGCGGGGAAAAAGGCACGCGCCAGCTCCCCCAGCAGGATCTGTGGGCAAGATCAAGGCAGGGTCTTCCTGGCCTTCAAATCCAACCCTCCACCCACCTCCACCTGGCCCTCCTGCCGCCTGGGTCTGACCAAGGCTACCCCCAGTCTCACCGTGAGGGTGGGCCCAGCAGTGACCAGGGCATAGATCAGTGCAGGAGGCACTCGGCTGGCAGCCTCAGGCCCTGGGTAAGGCTTGGCATAGGTACTGTCATAGCAGAAGAAACCCTGGGTGTGTACGGGGAAGGTGTCCGTGAACTCCAGGCGGTAAGCAAGCAGGACCACGATGCCCAGAAGCACTGACTGCCACCCAGTCATGGCAGGGAGACAGAGAGAGAAGAGACAGGGTCAGGTCCAAGCTGGGGCCATGGCGAGAGACACAGAGATGGAGAGAGACCGAGATGGGGAGGCGAGACAGACAGATCAAGCCTGAGGGAGATACAAAGGGTAGGAGAGACAGAGAGAAGCTGGGAATGGTCGGGGCCTGGGAGACACAAAGAGACAGAAACAGAAAGAGAAGACAGGAGGGGAGGGGAGGGGAAGGGAGAGGAGGAGAAGAGAAAGAGAAGGGACTAGCCAAATGGAGAGGAGAGAGGAGACAGGATGAGGGAGAGCGAGTGAGGACTGGGCCAGGCCTCAGACCAGAGAGAGGGGTCAGCGGGGGCTGCGGACATAGACCAAGAGGGGAAAAGATAAAACTGCTAGTAGACGTTCTAGCAGCTCCCAGAAGTACAACTCTTACTGGGGGCAGGCCATCATACTGAACCTCCTCCGTGAATTAACACATTTTACCTCCGTAACCGCCCCAGGAGAAAGGGGCTCTGATTACGCCTATTGGACAGCCAAGGAAACTGAAGTTCAAGAGGGTATGTGAGGAACCTGGAGTTCTGTGGTAAGGGCGCGCCTGGAACTCTGGGAGTGTCACTTTTGAACACCCCTCCTCCCCGCTGAGGGTCTGGGAGCGAATCTGGGGGGGGTGGGCTGGAGGGGGCGGTGAGAGTTACTGGGTTCCTCACCTCCACGAAGACAAAGCAGGGAATGATGGAGAAACTCCTCTTCGACTGGGGTCTCCCTCCTGCCATGGTGAAGACCGGGCCTGTGGAGGTGGGGAGGGAATGGGACGGCCAGGGCAGGGCCTAGGGGGAGGCTCTGGTCACCTGCCTGAGTAGAGTCTCTGGCCACACAATGACCCCCCCCCCATTCCCCAGACCCCAGAACTACTACGAAGGAGCCCTGGCTCCACCCACTGAGCCTTCTGGCCATGACTCTGAATATCCAGGATCCTGCCCATTGGCGGCCTCCCCTGACACAACCAGTCCAGCTCATTCTCTGCCAGGGATCCCAGAGATTCTATAGTGGTCTTCTCCCCCGACAGCCCACACAGGAGATTCGGACCCCAAGCCTTTTAGGAGGGTCTCTCCTCCTTACCATACAGGTCACCTCCCCATAGCCCTTGGAAGAGACTTCTCCAGTTTAATGGGACCCCTCCCTCACAGAGAAGGGTCCTCACCCCCACTGGTTTTTAGGAGACCCCATTCTCTTTCCCCATGTGCTTTATAAGGGACCCCATGCTCTGTGTCCCCCACCCCCACCAGGTTCCTCCTCTGAGTCCCTTCCCCCATGGCCCACAGGGGCCTCTCTCTCCTGTCCCCATGGGCTGCGCCTGACTGGTTCTCGGGCTGATGGCCAGGCCCTCCTTCTAGCCCAGCTGCCTCCCCTTCTCCCCCTCATCCCAGCCTGTCTGCCTCTCTGTGTCGTGAGGGGATTATCTTCTCCCAACAAGCCCCCTCTCCCCCCAATCTAACCTCAGTCCCCAGCACTGAGGGGCCAACAGAGCCACATCTGCTCGACCCATTCTCCCAGGCTGACCTCACCTGTGAAAGGGCCCTATGGCTTCCCACAGGCCTCCGCCACACCCACAGACTCACAGCCGCTCCTGGCGGCCAGCAGGGCAGGGATGGTCAACCCCATTGCACAGATGTGGAAACTGAGGCCCAGGAAGGTGAGGGTAGGCACTCTGGGTCCAGTGCCCCATCCACGCAGCTTGCTCTGCAGTGTGACATGTGGGGTGAGGGTCACCAGAGATCTCAGATGCCCATGTGGCCACGGCCCCTCACCCTTCCAGAGACACAATCACACATGCTGGCATCCCTAGAGTACACAACTCAGCCGCAGCCTCCAGCCCAAACACCACACACACACACACACACACACACACACACACGGGATAGCATTTGTCCATTCCACCAACAAGGATCCAGGGCCTGCTGGGTTCTAGGCACTTTGCTTGTGGTGAACAAGACAGGCCTGCTCATTCAGACAGGTGCCCAGCACCCACTACACACAACTGTACACTCACACACATGGCACAGTGTGCACATGGCCTGTCACAGACACCCACACAGATCAAACAACTCCCCCCACACACACACAGTCATAGGGACACAAGAGGAGGTCCTTCATCCACTTCACAGCCCGGCACACAGCCCCACACAAGCACTCACCCCACCAGCATCAGGGACATAGCCTCAGGGCTGCCAACACACTGAGAGTTTCATCAAAAAGAGTCACCACACACCCTGGGGGTCATAAACCGGTCACGGCGTCACGCCCCCAATTACCAGGCACTCAGTGACAGCCACATACATTAACAGTCTCTGTCTCATCCACACTGACACTCATAGGAAAGACGATGTCATCCACAAGCTCAGCCACATGGCCACGCAAGGGCACATACGTGGACCATGACACGGATTTGCACACCGAGCCACACAAGAAAGGCGCATGATCACAGCCACACACTGAGACATAAAAATGGGCCCCCCCACACCATCAGAAGGAACACACAATGGCAGTCATGGGCACACAACCATGCAGACACGGAGCCGGCCCCACACAGTCAGGGATAGCAGTCACAACAACACAGCCACACACACCCTCAGAGTGACACCCGTGATGACAGCTACACAATGACAGCCACAGGAGAGTCACACATACACCACACAGACCACACAGGCATCCCCAAAGCCACACAATTACAGTTATACAACCACACACTGACACAAAAAGACAACCGCACAATCACAGTCACCCTCACCACCTGCCGCTTGGCTTCTCCGGCCCGGGGTCCCCTCTCCACGCTCCCCTCCCGGAGCCCGGTTCTCAAGCCCCAGCTCACTGCCTCCCCTGCCCCCTCCCTGCGCCGGACCCACAGGGGACCCGACCCTCAGGAGCTGAACCCTGGCCGGACAGACAGACCGAGGGTCGGTAGCCCGCGAGAAGGGGTGCCGGGAGCGCCCCAAGCCCCTCTCCCTCACCGGGTCGAGGCTGTCACAGTCTGAGCCCCCGCTCCGCTTAGACGTCACCAGGGCGGCAGGACGAACGAACGGGACGGCAGGCCCCGCGGGCGGACACAGAGATGGGAGACGCTGTCGGCCTGGCAGCGCCGCGCAGACTCAGCGAAGGGGCGAGGGGCGGGGCCTCCGGATGCTTTATTTGCATAAGCCCGTGGGGCGGGGACTCACGGCGTCTCATTAGCATGGTCCGGGGCGGGGCCTCCGTTGCTCTTGGGGGCCGGAGAGGGTTAAGACAAATGTGGGAGGGAATGAAGGATGCAGGTTGAGGGAGAACTAGGCGGTGGGGGCGCTGAGAGGAAGAGGAGGGCAAGGTGCGAGCGTGACCCTGGACCTCGACCCTCCCTCCCTGTGCCTCAGTTTCTCCTTTGGGGCAGTAGACTAGAGCGCCAGGGCCCCCCAGAAAGGAGCTCTGGTGGCTGGTGTGAAAGAGCCTGTCTGGATACTCATATCTGGACAGACTGACCTTGGTATATATTACATTTGGCCTCACAATGTCCCCTGATCCTAACAGCCTCTGAGGTCCCCGCGCCCTCCCCAACACCGGAAAGTAAACTGGCTGTGGGCGTGGTCATTCTCAGGCACAGGAAGCAGCAGGAGCAACAGTCCACAGGTGGAAGAGAGTCTTGGCTAGTTTATTTTCTCTCTGGAGGGGTCTTCAGGGAGAGCAGTCCCAGCTGCTCAGGCTGTGGAGAGAGAGTGGGTCAGGGCGGTCAGGGCCAAGCTTAGTCCAGAGGACCTCAGGGCCGAAAATCAGGGAGCAGATGCCCAGGTTGGGAGCTGCAAGGGTCCATACTGTGGCACTGGAGGGCAGGCCAGGAGAGGAAGGGTGGGGTAGAGCAGGGGAGCTTCCGTACTGGATGGGAAGGAGCGGCTCTTGCTGAATGGTGGCTGGGAAGGATCCTGGTCTGATTCTGAGTCCGAGTCCCAGGAGAGGAGCAGAGGTCTCAGGCCCTGGTGCCCCTTGTAGCCTGCGGGAGCGACAGGTGCAATTCTGGCCTTTCACCCACAAACCTTGAATGTGACCCTTGAGTGGCACTGTGATCAAGGGCCAGTGTCCCTTTTGTTACTTAAATGTGACCCAACGTGATACCAAAGTATGACCTCAGTGACCCTTGAATTTTACCCCACGGATCCTTTAAAAAGATCCCAGGGACGCTGAGTGACCCCAGGATGGAAATCCTTAGTGGGACCCTAGAAGAAGCCCCAAAAGATGTGACCCCCCCCAAATATGGCCTCTGAACATGACCTCCACGTGTGAAACCGGAGAATGACCCCTCCCACACACCCCAGAGTGCACCTCATCCCCCCTTACCCCTGAGGTTCGAGGCCCTGGAGAGGCCCCCTGAGGACATGGTGAAGCCATCAAAGGAGTTCTGCAGCAAGTGCACAGCAGACCTGTGGGGAGATGGGGGGCTGGGGGCGCTGGGAGGCTCCTGATTGCTCAGGGCTGGGGCAGGGGGGCCACGGTGGGGACCAGGGGCCAGGGGTAGAGGTGCATCCTGGGAGGAGAGGGAGGCCTGGACTCAGGTGGGTTCCAGGTTCTGGTAGTCGCTGCTTGAACTGACTGGTGGGAGGGCAAGGCAGATGAAAGTCAGGAGTCAGAGGTTAGAGTGGGAGCAGGGCATCACCATATGTCACTCAGCTCCTTTTGGAGGTCATCCCTCCAGGAGCCTCTGCCTCCTGGTGGCATCTCCTCAGTCTCCGGCCAGTTGGATGTCTCACACCCCTGCTGCTTCATCTTGGTCAGGACCTGAGGCCAGGGGGTGGGAAGTGTGTGTGAGACAACAGTGGTAATAACAGTAATGGTGAAAAGTGACCCTGATTTAGCACTGATGATATGTCAGGCTGCCCTCAAAGTGTTTAGCATGCAGTTCATGCGGCTGCTCCTTCAGGTAGGGACACCATCATACCCATTATACGGATGAGGACACTGAGGCCCAGAGAGGTGAACTGACCAGACCACAGTCACACAGCAGTTAAGTGGCAGAGCTGAGATTTGAATCCAGTCCTTCTGGCTCCAGTATGACGGTGGAGGCCAGCGGAGATTCCCATGTCCCCAGGTCTCACACAGGGTCCCACCCTCTATGCTCACCTTGCGGCACTTCACCTGTGTCTTCTGCATCTTCTGGATGTTCACCAGGTTCTCTGTGATCTCGTCCTCCTGAGCCTCTGTGGGGGGAGGGGACTCAGGGGGGCCAGAGCTGCAGAAGGACCCCCCCCCTCCTGGCCGTGGGCTCCAGGCACTCACGGAGCTTCTGATAGATGAAGGTCACCTCCTCCCGCACCAGCTCCAGCTCCTCCCACAGGAACTTCTTGCTGAGGGGACAATGCAGCCTAGACCTGCATTCCTGGCTCAGCCTTTGGCCTCCTGTTTCCTGGCTTTCTGGCCTCCCATTTGCCCACCTGCCTCCTCAAGCCTCCTCCAACTCTCATGTTCCCATCCCCCCCCCCCCCATCTGTCCCCTCCCCCGACCTCCCTGCCCACCTTGCCCCTCCTACCTCTACTCCCCCACCTCCAATCCCCCAGCCCCTTGTCCCCACCTCCTGACCTCCAGCCTCCCATTCTCTCAGCCTCTCATTGCCTGGCCTCCGTCTCCCCACCTTCTGCCCCTCTGACCTCCCATACTCCCCAGCCTCTGCCACCCTCAATCTCTCCTCCCTCCAGCTTCCCATATCGTGTCCAGTTTCCTGATCTCCTGGCCTCCCTCCCCAACCCATCTCCAGCTTCCTGTCTTCCTCCTCCTTCCTCCTGCCTTCTGGCCTCCCAGCTTCCCACACTTTCTCACTGCCTCCTCTCCCCCCATCTTGTCCCTCAAACCTTCCAGGGCCCCCAGGTCCCCTTACCCAGGCCTCTCCCATTTGCCTCATCCCACATCCCACCTCTGGCTCCTGCTCCCTGGCCTCCCTTCCCTCCCCCAGCTTCCAGGCTGCCCTCCTGGTGATGCCCACCTGTCCCGGATCTCCTGGGCCAGCAGCTGCAGGCAGCGAGTGGTGCGGGCCCTCTGCACCTCCTCGCTGTCACTCAGGGTCTTCTGTAGTCCCAGCAGGCCTTCCGCTAGGGCCCCATACAGCTCCTGCCGTCCCTGCTCCATGCCCCACTTGTGTCCCTCCTTCTCCGTCTGGCGGCTCATAGGACTCAGAACCTCTGCAGATTAGATGGGATCGTGACTGAGCACCAACCACACCTGAACCCAGCTTTGAACCCGGCTGGCCCCAACCCTAGCCAGGCCCTGACCCTGACCCTAGAGTCACCCAACTTCTTTCACCTTGGGCTAACCCAGCTGACCCCAACAGGACCAGCCTCCAGCCTGACTTTGACCCTTGGCCAGTCCTCACCTTCAAGCTGTTGGATCTTGATTTGCTGCAGGCAGCTCTCCTTCTCCAACATGGTCACTGAGTGGTTTAGGAACTCGAAAGCCTGAGGGGAAGAGGTCAGGAGCAGGGAGCAGGGGAACAGGGCCAGAGGTCTCCGAGGACAGGGCAGAGGAGCCTTACCTTGGTCTGGGCCTGTAGCTGGCTCTTGAGTGACTCCAGTTCGCAGCGCAGGAGCTTCTGGGAGTCAGGAATCATCATGGTGGACTTAACTATGAGCAGAGTTAAGGGTCAGATGAGGCTAGGAGGAGTGGGGGCAGGGGCAAGTTCAGGTCAGAGGTCAGCAGAAGCTCAGGGGAGGGCGAGGGGCAGGGGGTCAAGTAAAGAGCTGGGGTCTGTTGAGGCTGACGTAGAGGCAGGAGTGGGGGACAAGGTCAGGCGCAAGACTCAGCCGAGGCTGGGGCAGGGCTAAGTGGGCAGCAGTGGTGTGGTTCCTCCCAGGCTAGGGCAGAGGGTGGAGGTAAGAACTGGCAGGTCTTCCGCACACAGTCTTGTCGGGAGGGAGGGTTCTCACCTTCGACTTTGGAAGAGTTGGTCTCCAAGGGCTTCTAGGAAAGGGGGACATGAGGGTAGTAGAAATTCATCCCTGTGCTTCTCCTTGCACACCCCAACCCATTGTGTGGGGGTTGGGTATGAGTTGGGTCAGCTGAGTGCTGGGCAAACCTGCCTCCATGTGTGTGTGCACCCTTCCCCCACCAGCCCACGTATGGTCAGAGGCATACTTGTGTGGTTTGTCCCCTGTCCCCGACAGCACCCCTGCAGAGCCCTGTCTCTGGCCAGGGCTCAGGTAATGGCCCTCCTCCTTAAGGGCAAACGACATAGACAATGTCTCCAGGGAGCACCAACAGCCCCGAAGCACAACCGCACACGATCTTTCAAACACAACTACAACCATACAAGTTCAGACACAGCCGCACACGCCAGGTGGTTAAGACCTTCAGGGTGTCCACTCACACCCAACTCAGACACACAGCCACAACCACAGACACACAGGCCGTCAGACCCAGAAACTAGGAAACACAATCACAGGGGCGCCTGGTGGCTCAGTTGTTAAGTGTCTGCCTTCAGCTCAGGTCATTCGGCTCGGGTCATGATCCCAGGGTCCTGGGATCGAGCCCCGCATCGGGCCCCCTGCTCAGCGGGGAGCCTGCTTCTCCCTCTCCCACACCCCCTGCTTGGGTTCCCTCTCTCACTGTGTCTCTCTCTGTCAAATAAATAAATAAATAAATAATCTTTAAAAAAAAGAAAGAAAGAAACACAATCACACATCCTCTCCATTCATCCCTTCATCCATTCATTTAAGACATTTTTAGTGTGGGTTGGCTGAGCGTTGGGTGCTGTTCTGGGTGCTGAAGTCACACAATGTGAAGGTTCGTTAGAAAGACCCCCTCCAAGGTCCCCTCCCTAAGCCCCACAGCAGTTGTGGTGTGGGTTTCCCGGGTGGGGGGTGACCTTAGCAGTGTTGTGATGCCTCTTCAGAAGGTCCTGGTCATTACACTGCTCCTCTGAGTCTGGGTTCGGGAAGATGGAAGACCCATATGACTGAGGCTCCAAGTCCCTCTCTAGCCTCCAGTCTATACTCGGCACTGTGTTCTCAGAAGCAGCTGGCCCCACGATCTCTGGCTCTGGGGCCCTGGACCAGTGAATCGTATAATCCAAGGTCTTGTCTGAGGAAGAACCTGAACAGGGGGCGGGGGAATGGGGGGTTGGGGGGATGAAGGGGTGAGGGCTTTCTGAGGACCAACCCAGAGCACTCCAGCCCTCCCAGCTCCCCAGCCCCAGGGAAGGCCCGCAACAAACCCCAGTACTTGTCACACTTCCCGTTAGCAGGCAAACACCCGTTGGAGGGCAAGGGAGATGAGCAGTAGCAGGGCACAGAGTAGTCAGGGTCCTGGGGTAGGCCAGCCAGGTCGCTTCAACAAGGGGGAACAGGGGGCTGCACTGAGACCAGCCCCCATGTCCTGAGACGCCCATACCTTCCCTAATACCCCAGAGAGGCCTCAGCCCTGAACACAGGGCCTCCCAGTTATGGCAGGAGCAGAACCTGGATGAAAGATGATCCCAGCCCCAGGCATTGGGCTGGGTAGTGAGAAGCATCCAGAAGACCCCCACAGGAGAGAGTGAAGCCTCAGAAGAGCCTAAAAGCAAAAAAGGATCTTAACATTGGGCACTAATAGAAGGGCATTCCTGGCAGGAAACAGCATGGACAAAAGCTTGGAGGTGTGGAACCACATGCTCTGTGCTTGTAAATTCAGGATGGCTGAAGATAGGGTCCAAGAGGAAGCAGGAGGAGGTTAGCAGGGCAGCTCAAGCAAGGCATTGAAAGCCAAGCAGGGGAGTTTAGATCTGGCTCCCAAGGAAAGTGGGAGCCATGGAGTATGAGCAGGAGAGACAGGGCATATCTATTCAGTAAATGTTGGCACAATTGGGGCCGAAGGCCTGTGCTAGGTGAGGCTGGGAATGGGAGAAAAATTCAGCTCTGGGTCTCACATTCATACCCATTGTTCAACATTCCAGTGTTGTCAGGGCTGGCCCGGATGGAGACCTGGGGCAGGTCTGTCTGGAAAAACTTCCAGGTGAAGAGCATTTTGTCCTGAGTCACACTCAGCCAGAAAGCCCACACTCTAGGGCTTTCTCTTCTGCCCTTGCTGGGCTGTCTGGAGTCCTTCCTCTGGCCCAGTCCTCCAGGAAGTCGGCTATACACCCTTCAAAACTCTACTCAACATTTCCTCTGTAAAAAATCCTTAATCCTTTTTTTAAGCTCATATTTTCTGAGCACCTCACTGAGTGCTGGGAACCATCCTAAGCGCTCACTTCACACCCGTTTTAGGATATAGGAGCTTTTCTTCTGCCTGAAATGTTCTGGGCTACCCCTTCCAGAATCACTGTCTCAGGAGGCCCGCACTTTCAGAGGCAGCACAGCACGATGATTAAGCCAGGGGACTCTCCAGCTGGGTAGCCTGGGTTCGAATCCTAGCTCTGCCCCTTCTCGGCTGTGTGATGTTGGAGTGTTACCGAACCTCAACATGTCTCAGTGTCCCCGACTATAAAAATGGGATGCCATACTAATCACCTTACTGGGTTGTTGTGATTAAGTAAATTAATCTGTGCCAGCGCCTGACACACAGTAGTGGGAAACTGTCCTCGAACGTCACACTGAGAACCTGGGAAACGGCACCAAAGGAGCCCTGGGAGGCTTGAAAGGGAAAAGAGAAGATGCATTTCTGAGTGCCAACTGCAGGTGGGTCCCCAGTAAAGCCCCCCTCCCTTCCCCCTTGACCTTCCCCCTTCCCCTCCCACATCAGCTGTTTCTCCCGCTGTCGCCGGGAGAATTCTTGGTAGGCAGGGGGCGGGGTCATTAGCCTGAGCCCCGCCCCCCAGAGCGAGAATCCTGCGCCCGCCGGGCTCCAGACCCCCTTCCACCCCCACCTACCACATACCACCTGCTCATGCTCTCCCCTCAAGGACCGCGAAGCCAGTCCCCAGCTGTGACGCTGAAATTTGATCCCGGGGGGACACCATCGCATTAAAACGCGCAAAGCCTAAACGTAGAGTCACAGAGAGGGGTGGGGCTGACACTTTAGCTCCGCCCCCGCCGATGCAGCCGAAGGCCTTATTGGCGCCTTCCTGCTTCCGCAGATCTTAGGAGCCGCGGTGTAATTGGATAAAAGCCAGACTAGGGGGCGGGATTCCAGGCTGGTTTCCGCTAATCGATTAGTCAATATCTAAGAGGGTGGTACGGAAGGCGGCAGATCTACGATCCAATTGGCTTCGGGTTTAGCTGGGAGGCGGGGTGAATTCTTGGGAGGTGACTGAGGAGGTCCGCGGGCCACCTGGGAGCACGGGAGTGAGGTAGCGAGCCCAGCCCACCGGGCCCCAAGATCTGGCCCCGGCACTGCCGTTCTCGGACTCCTGGGTGCCGAGGGTTGAGGTCTGGGTGCAGTGATAGGGTCGGTGTCCTCAGAATGAGATTTGGGGTTTCCCGGGATTAGATGGGGGTGTCCGGGGGTGCTTCGGGGATCTTCCTGGTGATATTTGGGATCCTGAGATGAGAGCAGGGGTCTTTACTGTTAGAATTAAGTCCTCGGCTAATTTTTGGGAGTCACTGGGGGAATATATGAATACCCAGGGCTGCGAGTTTGAGCTGCTGGGGCTAATTGAAAATTTCAGGTCTCGGAGGCAGCGTGGATGCTGGGGTCCAGAGATCCTGAGATCTTGAGGGCTGACATTTGGAGAGATGGGGTTGGAGGGTGTCTCAGGATTGTTCGGGGTCTTCCCCACCCGCATACCGAGGCTGGTATCCCTTGATCTCGCTCTCCTGGGTTGGCCGTGATCCTGGCCTTGAGCAGGCTCACAGGCTGAAGACCATGGGGCAAAGGTAAAACCCTGAAACACCCGGTGCCTCTTTCCCAGGCCTGCAAGATGGAGGAAGGTGGGAATCCAGGAGGCCTGACTAAGATGGTCCATCTACTGGTCTTGTCGGGGGCCTGGGGCATGCAAATGTGGGTGACCTTCATCTCAGGTAGGGACCCTCCACCTGGACATCATGGGTACCCAGGGCGGAGACAAGAATGAGAGGGGGGGCCTGGAAGTGTCCTGACAGGCATGTGGTCCCCTGTACCCCACAGGCTTCCTGCTTTTCCGAAGCCTTCCCCGACATACCTTCGGCTTCGTGCAGAGCAAACTCTTCCCTTTCTACTTCCATATCTCCATGGGCTGTGCTTTCATCAACCTCTGCGTCTTGGCTCCACAACATGCCTGGGCTCAGCTCACTTTCTGGGAGGCGAGCCAGGTATGCGGGCTTGGGCTCCACTGTCCTCTGGAGACTCGTTCCCAGGACCCCACTGAGCACCTATGGCTACACCTTCATGAGAATTAAACAAGCAACTGCACCTTCCTGGTGGATACGAAGCTGGGCTCTGAATACCCTTGAGCAGTGCACAGCCTGCACAACCATCCCTAGCAGCCCTATCTATCCCTCAGTGTCTCCCTGCTGGCTCCTGCTCCCTCTCTTTCCCCCGGCTGGGCCTGCTGCCAAGTTGTGGTGACTCAGCTGGGTTGGGGCAGTGACCCCAGCTCATTGTTTAAAAACCAGCCTGACTGGGAATTTACAGTCCCCCACTCCCATCCACACATTTTCCCAGCCACGGGGAAGGGAACCATCTCTGCATCTCGTATTTCTCTCTCCTGCCCTCCCCCTGCCCCCATTATGTTCCTCAGATGTGGGCAGGTAAGGCCTGACAAGGGTTTCAAGAATAATCCCAAAGATACAGGAGAGGATTTTGGGTAACTAGAACTTCCAGGACTTTCTGTTCACACTCTGTGGACCCAATCTCAGCTTCTGGAGTCTGGGCAGGGACCATAGAGGAGATGGGCCCTGTCTTAGGCTCTCTTTTGGGGGAACAGTTATGGTTCTCTGTCCCAAGTTGGGAAAGAGAGGTTCTGCCCAGAGATACCCCCACTTTTGGGGAGCAGGGAGGGGAGGAGACAAGGCTGCGTTATGGAAACTTCCAGACTGGGTATCAGAGGAGGAGAGGCTCAGGGTTTTTTGGGGGTGGGGGGAGGTGAACAGAGGAGATGGTGATGGAGCCTTTCCTTAGGAGCTGCTGGTTTCAGGGTATGAAAGCTGGAGCTCTGTTTGGGGCCTCCAGACGGGGTTTGGGAAGGACAGGGAGGCCTAGCTTTGACCGAATACTGTCTTCCACCCACCTCTGGGCTTTGAGGATGCAGGAGGACCCTCCCTAGGAGCCCTCCCGCCGCCCAGGCGTGACTCAGCTTGTCCTCCTTCCACCACCCTACCAGCTCGGCCTACTGCTTCTGAGCTTCGCGCTGTCCACCATCAACGCCCGCTGGCTGGAGCCCCGCACCACGGCTGCCATGTGGGCCCTGCACAGGGTGGAGAAGGAGCGGGGTCTGGGCGGGGAGGTGCCTGGAAGCCACCAGGGCCCCGACCCCTACCGTCAGCTGCGGGGGCAGGACCCCAAGTACAGTGTCCTCCGCCAGACCTTTTTCCGCTATCATGGTCTGTCCTGCATTTGCAATCTGGGCTGCGTCCTGAGCAATGGGCTCTGCCTTGCAGGCCTTGCCCTGGGCCTCAGGAGCCTGTAGCACCCACTTCCTCGCTGGCCCTGCTGAGGCCCCAAATGTTAATAAAACACTTCTTTGGAAATGCCTGCTGTCATTTTTCTCCAACTGGAAAACAGGCGGAGGGGTGGGCGAAGGTAGAGCTGAGGGCCTTCATTACCACATTCACGTGGCTGGATTTCCAGTGTTAGCTATTAACTGGCCTGAAGCTCTTCCTGTAATGGTGCTCATTTATTGAGCACCTGCTGTGTGCCAGGCGTGGTACTAACCATCGCACATACCGTGTATTGTAACAATAGCTGGCTCTGAGCCCCAGGGGACAATCATATTTCCCACCGCATCGACATTGGGGATGGCCACATGACTAGCTTTGGCCAAGGACATGTGAAGAGAGTCATTTGCAAAGAGAAGTGTACAAGGCAGTGCATGATTAGCTACATTTTTCCTTCATCCACGTGGCCCTTGGAGGGAGCTATTATTATTCCCACGAAGCAATGGGGACTCAGAGAAGTTCAGCAAGCGGCTTCAGATGTAGTTGCTGGGATCTGACTCCAGCAAAGCCTGCAGATCTTCTTATGGCTTGAAAATTCTGGGGCCTCACCTGAGCCCGGATGCCAAATTTCCTCATTGTGTGCCCTCAGGCACAGAGGTACCCTTCTCAGCAACTCCCATTTCCTTATGTGGAAAAGGTTTAATTCTAAGGGCCCTTCAGAGTATTTCGCAGGGACCTAGCCCACTTTAGGGTCAGGCATCGCACTTTCTCGAGACACTAGCTCAGATCAGAACCTTCACAGCCCTGTGAGGTAGGGATTCTTGTTACGGACCACTGGACGATGGGCACAACAGGCCCGCGAGGTTCAGTAACACGTCCAAAGTTAAACCGAGCTAGAAAGTGAAGGAGCTGGGATTCGAACCTGACTCCAGAATCTACGCTCTTCACTTCCGTGCAAAGAGTAGGAGCTCTACATATAGTTAGGAAAAGTGAAAAGTTTATTGTTGGGGGGCGGGCCCTAGGCTGCCCGGAGCTTGGTGCCGCTTCCAGCCCTTCCTCCCGGGGCTTTCGCAAGCCCCGCCCCGGACTCGGCCCCGCCCCACCCTCTCCCGGGAGCGGCCCCTCCTCCCCCGTCTGGGCGGAGCCGGCGCGGGATCCGGGTGGCTGCGGGCAGCGGCGGCGGTAGCGGCGGCGGCTGCGGGGTCGGTGTCGCGGCTGGGTTTAGGCTGCAGCGATTTCGGAGGAGGAACGCCCGTGGGCAGCGCCCCCCCCCACGCGAGGTGACCCCTTCCGAGGGACCGCACCCCGCCCCGCACCTCCGCGTCCCAGCAGGTCTGGGGGGCCGGGGGGCTAGAGGGAGGGCCCGGGGCCCGGGGAACAAAGGCAGGCGGTGGGGGAAACGCCTCTTCCCTCGCCCCCACCCAGCTGGACTCCTCGAGCCGCGTTAATGGGGCGCGGGCGGGGCAGAGAGCCCAGCTGGGAACAGGAGATGGGACCATATGGTGATGGGAGGAAGCTCCTGAGCCCCCCTGCACCGGCGGGGGCGCCCCAAATCCAGCAGGGGAACAGGGCCGAGCCCTCCGGGGACCCTGATCTAGTGGCAGACGTGAGGGAGGGGGGACTGATGGTCAGGAAGAGGTGGGACCGGCTGACAGGTGGGCTGGGGCTGGGGGTGGGGTAAGGGCCCCAGCCTGGCAGCCCTGCCCAGCATGGGGAAAGGTTTCCTGCCTCTGGTCTTCCCCTCATCGAACTCGTTCTCCCGGAACACCGGGTGGGGCCGAGGGCTGGGCAGGAAAGCGGGCAGGTTCGGTCCTCTTTTAAAATGGAAAAAAGCCCCACAGGCGGTTGAGAAATAGCTTTGCTAAGGGTTCCTCTGCCTGCGTGCCGTCCATTCACCCAGGCCTCCTGGAGCCTTCGTGCGCCGCTCAAGGAGTAGACATAGGCAGCTGGGGAAACTGAGGCCTCGGGAGGCCGTGAAGGCTAAGGGGGGGTGTCTGGGCCCAGATGAAGCAGCCCAGCTGTGGGGACAGATTGCCAAGAAAGGAAGGATCAGGGGTAGAGAGGAGTGGTGGTGGTGGGGTTCTTATTATGTGGCTTCCTTAGAGTTGAGGACTGTCACTGCAGCCTCTGTGGACTGGAGCTGGGGTGAGTCAGCCCTGCCCGGAGGGAGACGGGGCCCACCCCTTTGACAAACAGAAGGTGGCAGGGCCCATTTGGGGCAAGAGCTGGGCTTTAAACCTGGGCTGTATCTGCTAAAACCCCCTTCGCCGTGGAGGCCAGGGATGGGGTTAAACTCAGCGTTGGCGGGGGGGGGGGGGGGAGGGCAGGTCCCCCCGCCAAAGCCCCCCCCGCCCCCGGGGGGGGCGCCTCCCTCCAGCTGCCCCCCCCCCCCCCGCCCCAGCCCACACCTGGGCCAAGCCAGCCGCTCACTCTGGGGCAAAGTCCACACCTGTACCTTTTGCAGGGTCTGGCTCCTCAGTGGCCAGAGGAAGCACCCCATATGCCCCCCACAACCTGGGCCCTGGCATTGGATAAGCCTCCCCATTTTCCAGAGGAGGACCCTGAAGGCCGGAGAGAGCAAGTGATGCCTCTGAGGTCACTTGGCCTCCAAGTGGCAGAGTTAGGATTTGAATCTGGGTCTGGTGTGTACACTGGAACCATTCCTGGTGTTTTATTTTTCTGCAGGGCGCCAGCCGCCCCCCCCTCCCCCGGAGGCTCTCTGCCAAGATGGCATCAGCCGGAGACCCCCCAACAGGCCCGCGGGATGCAGCCGACCAGAACTTCGACTACATGTTCAAACTGCTGCTCATTGGCAACAGCAGCGTGGGCAAGACGTCCTTCCTGTTCCGCTATGCGGACGACTCCTTCACACCTGCCTTTGTCAGCACCGTGGGCATCGACTTCAAGGTCAAGACGGTCTATCGCCATGACAAGAGGATCAAGCTGCAGATCTGGGTGGGCCAGGCGGCGATTGTGGATCTGGGGCAAGGGACGGGAGTCTGTGTGCTGGCCCAGGAGGGGCTGGGCTTCCTCCAAGGAAGTCCATGATAGGGTGGAGGGCTGTGCGGAGGGGCCCCGGGTGAGCGAGAGTGGGCCAAAGTCAGGGAGGAGGCTGGGGGTAGATGTGAAAGGGGGGGGGGGGGGGGGGGGGGGAGTTATCTCTGAGGTGAATTCATCAGGATGAGGATATGCTCTGCCCTACAGGGTCTGAGGGGCAGAGAGTGCTAACCCGAGGCGGGTTAGAGGTCCTGCTGACCAGTGGGGAAGAGGTTTGGGTACCATCCCAGGATCCCCCACAGAGCCTGTGTGCTCCTCAGAGGCTCTCACTCCCAACATGGCCGCCGATAATGATTATCATGGGACTGACTGCACACCAGGGTGTCTGCCCCGAGATGGTACTCTCTGGCCCAGGTGGCTCTTGCATGGGGTCACTAAGTCTGTTCTTGGAGATGAGGTATAAGTCTGTGAGAGGCCACTGACCCCTCAGACTGGGAACTCCTCAAAGGCAGGGCCATGCCTCCCGTCAGACTGGGGCTGTGAGCACAGGGTGGTGGCCCACTTAGGGCCCTGCAGGGGTTGGGTGGGGAACAGGGTGGCTTCTGGTGGACTGACCCTGCTGTGTGCCTAGGACACGGCGGGCCAGGAGCGCTACCGCACGATCACCACAGCCTACTACCGCGGAGCCATGGGCTTCCTGCTCATGTATGACGTTGCCAACCAGGAGTCCTTCACCGCCGTGCAGGACTGGTGAGCGAGTGCTTGTGGGCCACTGACACCCTGACCATCGCCCTCTCCCCCTGACGCTCCATTTCTAGCCTCATGGCCCTCACACTCCACAGGGCCACCCAGATCAAGACCTACTCCTGGGACAATGCTCAGGTGATCCTTGTGGGGAACAAGTGTGACCTGGAAGATGAGCGGGTCGTGTCTACTGAGGATGGCCGGAGGCTCGCCGATGACCTTGGTTAGTGCCCAGCCTGGGCCCCAGGCCCTGGACCTCCCAGAACTAAACCCCCAACCCCCCCCCGCCCCCACCCTTGGGTCCCAGGTCCAACCACAGTCATCAACCCTCTGCGCTTTGAGGCTCCGCTCAGAAAAATACCCACCTGTATGCCACCTTCTGCATTTAATTTCAGAGAGTTCAGTGACAGATACTTCCCACCTCCGCACTGCCCTGGGAAGCCAGATTGGGCAAAAACATGGCCGGAAATGTATCCTCCAAACATCCCACCCATGTGGGAAGTGGCGAGTATATCACATCACAGCACTAAATATCTCACCATGGGGGAAGCCTCGAAGCATAAAGCACGGCCACACAATAGAATACTACACAGCTGTGAAAAGGGATGGACACATTCTTTATGTTCTGCTAGGGCAAGGTCTGTGGGGTATAGGGCTAGGTGGGAAAAGCAAACTGCAGAGAAGTGGGCTTGGCTGCTTCCTTTAGTCCGTAGCTCAGCAGATGTTTTCTTAAAGGGCCAGATCAGAAATATTTTTTATTTATTTATTTTTTATTTGACAGAGAGAGACACAGCGAGAGAGGGAACACAAGCAGGGGGAGTGGGAGAGGGAGAAGCAGGCTCCTCGCTGAGCAGGGAGCCCGGTGCGGGGCTCGATCCCAGGACCCTGGGATCATGACCTGAGCCAAAGGCAGACGCCTAATGACTGAGCCACCCAGGCGCCCCCAGATAGGAAATATTGAAGGTCATAGAATCTCTGTCACCACACTCAGCTCTGCCTGAAAGCAGCCAGAGAGCTGACAGGAATGAATGTGACTGTCAGTAAGACTTGGTTTACAAGAATAGGCGATAGGCCAGATCTGGCCTGTGACTCGAAGTTTGTTGGCCCCTGCAGGAGTGCCCAAAGAAACTCTGGAAGGATACAGAAGGATCTAGTAACAGTGGGGACCCGTGTGTGTCCGAGAACTGGGGACCAGGGCACCAGGATGGGAGGAGGAGTTTTCAGGCTACCTTTTTGAATCACATAAATGGAAATTTAGGCTAAAAGGAAATCTTTTTTTTTTTTTAAGGTTTTATTTATTTATCTGAGAGATAGAGAGAGGGCGCACAAGCACAAGTTGGGGGGAGGGGCAGAGGGAGAAGCAGACTCCCCACTGAGCGGGGATCCCGAAGCAGGGCTCCATCCCAGGACCCCAGGCTCATGACCTGACCTGAAGGCAGACACTTTAACTGACTGAGCCATCCAGGCGCCCCAAAGCTAAAAGGAAATCTTGCCTGGAGTATTCTAGTATTCTAAGCCCTCCATAGAACTCTCCTTGCAGGAGGCAGTGTAACCACCACCATAGGGGAGGGTGGGTTAAGGAGGAGCCAGACTCAGGAGCTCGAATCCCATTCTGCAACCCACTAGCTGTGTGACCATAGGCACATCGCCTCCCCTCTCTGTGCTTCCATTTCTCCATCTGGAAAACAGAGTGAAAACCGTGTCTCCTTCAGAGCGCTGTTAGAAAGATGAAATAAGCCAACACTGGCCCTGATTGAACACTAACTTGTATTCTTTCTCTATCACTTTGTGATCTTGTATTGGTAACTTCAGCGGTCTGGGCCTGCACTTCCTCCTGTGTGAAATGAAGATTATAACAGCCCCAGCTCCTCAAGCTGTCATGGGGCCTAAATGAGTTATGACACAGGAGGCCCGTATCACCGTCTGGTACACATGCAGTTGTAGCTAAGTGTTAGCTAACATGATTGTGAACTGTTGTTGATGCTTGCCCACGGAACTCTAGGAACCCCATAATGGCCCACAAATCCTCAAATATTTACTGGCCCTTTACCGAGAAAGTTCAGGGACCCTGGACTATACACAGTCTTCTTTCTCTTTTTTTCTTACCATCTATTTGTTGGACAAACTGGGTCTTTGTTCGATGGAATATCTCCCATTTGAGATCTGGCTCTTTGCTCCCTCGTGGTGTCATTTAACCTGCTCCTCTGTTCCCTGTGTTTTCTGGGAACTCCAGGTTGGGTCTCATTTCCAGGTATGATGGGGAGTCAGCCTTTGCAGCTGAGGCCTAGATCCCCAGTTTGCCTAGAGTGGTGAAATCAGCTATGGTTTCCAGCCATGGGCTGGAATACTTGCAGATGTTGCCCCCACCTTGCAGAGAACATCTAGTGAATGGGGGTGAGGGGGCTTCCTACTCTGTCATTAAGTTTAAAATATTGGCGTACAGAGCAGGAGACAGAATTTGACCCCAGTTTTGTAGGACAAAAATGACACACGCATGCATATACTCCCTACAGACCCAACCCCAATAATTGTGTATTTATATTAAAAAAAAAAAGTGGAAAGCAAAATATCAAAACACCAATAGTAATTGTTTCTGGATGACGAGCTTACAGATAGCTTTTATATCCATCTTGATATTTTTCAGTAGTTTCTAACTTCGGTGGATTTCTCCACTGAATATTTATAATCAGGAAAAAAAAGTATTAAAAAAGAACTCAGATTGTTTGAGGCAGAGCCACACGCGGAGAAGGATATGCCAGCCTTGCCTAGGAAGACAGTGGGGTGACATTGATGATCACTAGTCTCTGAGTAAGAGATCTGAGTTCATGGCCTGCCTCCGTCATTCAATCAATCAATCAGTCAATCACTCAGCAAGTAGCTTCTGAGCACCTGCTCTGTGCCAGGCACAAGACAAGGCAAACAGCAATCCTGCCCTCCCAGAGCTGGCATTCCAGGAGCAGAGATGGATAGTAAATGGATAATTACACACACATAATTATTTAATTGTAATTACATTTTTATAGTACAGCGTGACAAGTGCTGGGATAGGGCCCTGTTTATCCTATGCTGTGTGTAATGTGGCGGGCGTTTGTCTGAATTTCTGGCCCAACTTGGTGAGTATGGTGGGTGTGGACCTATTGGGAACCATTCGGGGTAGCTCCCTGTAGGGAGAGCCTGAGCCAACCTTTTAGGGGTGTAGGAAGGATTGTCACATACACCCTTATTGTTAGGTCAACAGCCCCCACTTTTTGCAACTGAGGGACCATGGGCAAGTCCCCAAAGCCTTTGTACTACCTTCCACCTTTGGAAGGACAAGCTTTTTTAAATTAAAAAAAAAATTTAATTTTTTAATTTTAGTTTTGGCAGGGGGGAGAGGGAGAAGGAGCTGGGCTTGATCCTAGGACCCTGGGATCATGCCCTGAGCCAAAATTGAGAGTCTGATGCTTAACCAACTGAGCCACCCAGGCGCCCAGGACAAGCTTTTTGTTTTTAAATGAGAGACAAGTTAGGGCCACCTGGGTGTTTGCTTCTTCTTCTTATTTCTTACTATCATTATTACCACTTTAAAAAAAAAAAAGGATCTTATCTATTTATTAGAGAGAGTGAGCGAGGGCACGCACAAGCAGGGGGAGGGGCAGAGAGAGGGAGAAGCAGACTTCCCTGCTGAGCACGGAGCCCAATGCGGGCATCGGTCCCAGGACCTCGGGATCATGACCTAAGGCGAAGGCAGATGCTTGACCAACTGAGCCACCCAGGCGCCCCTCATTATTACAACCTTTAGTATGTTCTGTAGGTCAAGACTGTGGGCATCGCATACGCCCCACAGACGCTGGGGAACCCGCTGTTTGTTATATGCCTGCTGGGCACCAGAACATTACTTGCTGGACTCCTGCAGTCATTGCTTTGTGACAAAGAGTTTCTTGCAATAGTCCAAACCGGGGCAGATTTTTATCAGCATCAGCATCGTTCCCCTTTTACAGATGAGCCAGCTGAGGCTTCAAGAGACTTCGGCACTCAGCCAAGGTCCCACAACTGCATGAAGGGCAGACCTGGGCTTGGAAACCAGGTTTGGGTGATGCCCAGGTTCTGCCCTCCGGGGGTCTCACTGGTGTTTCCACCTTGTGTCCGTCCAGGTTTTGAGTTCTTTGAGGCCAGCGCCAAGGAGAACATCAACGTGAAGCAGGTCTTTGAGCGCCTGGTGGACATCATCTGTGAGAAGATGAATGAGTCGCTAGAACCCAGCTCCAGCCCGGGGAGCAATGGGAAAGGCCCGGCCTTGGGAGATGCCCCACCCCCTGAGCCCAGCAGCTGCAGCTGCTAGAGATGGTCCCCAACCCCTGCCCACCCCTTCCGGCCTTGGCAGGGACTGTGACTGAGGCATGAGCCACAAGGGCTGTTTCCAAGCTCAGGGCGCCCCCTTCCCTCCCGTCAGCTGCCCCGTCTCCCGCATGACCTCTGACTTGCCCGAGCAGCCTTATCACAAGCTCCAGACCCTGGGGATTCTGCATTGCGGGCAGAGTCTGGGTGCGTTGACGTGCACGAGCTTGCTGCTTTTCAGGAATTCTAATGGAGGGAGCATGGGCAGCATGTCCCACCCCGTCTGGTGGAGGGGCCTCCACAGTGCCTTCTGGGGTTAGAACTCTTGTCCTTGTCCATTCTGTGTTGGGGTATTGCCTGGCATTCACAAGCTGGTCGAAGATGCTTCGTGGTCTTCCTCCTGCAGTGTGGGTCCTCAGAGTTCATCCCTGGGGAGGTGGAAGGTGAGTCCTTTCTCAGGGTCCCCTGGTGTGGTCCCAGGCCCACTCATGAACCTCCTCGGGCCTCAAGCTTCCAAGGTGGGGAGGTGATTTTAGCCTTTACAGACCCTTCCCTACCGGCCTGTAGATCCTGTGCCTGTGAAAGCAGTATTAAAGCAGCTTTTCCCATAGTAAAGGGGCAGGAAGACAGAGGCCCACACCCTCCACCGGCTTCAGGGACCCCAGAAGTGCCTTCTGAGCTTCCCCAGGATTCCACATCACCCACACCCCCGCCACTGTTTTGGCTTATCCACCGCAGCATCTCTGATCCCTGGATTGAATTCTGGAACCATGGGCTGCATCAGACTGGGCGGAGAATGGCCCAACCCGTGGCGTTCCTGCTCGGGACTTTTTGCAGGGAGTTAATCTCAGAGCCAGGAGCCCCGGACCTCCCGCCCCTTCCTGCCTCTCCCAGGCCCCATTTAGCTGGTGATGTTTTAAGCAAGGTCTTTCCACATCTTCCATCCTGCTAGAAAAGGAAATTGAGCAATGTTCCTATCACCTGCTCTTGCTGGTGACTTGCCAATAGAAGGACTCGGGCTCCTACCCATCAAGGACCCTTGAAGACCCAGAGTCCTATTTCCTGAGCCACGTCATTGGTGGGGCCCAGACAGGTGATGTTTCCTGCTAAGGGAGGAGTGAATCTAAGGGAGGCTATAGGGTTGGGCTGAAGGGGCAAGAAAGCAGGATTGGGTAATTACTGTTGCTACATGTGTTTCACGGACACAGCTTGGGAGTGGCAGGCTGATGGGGATGGGCTGGGAATCAGTCTCCCTGGTTGACACACGATCGGGGAGCCCACAAGGCTGGGGTCCCCAGCTGGCGGGGGCTTCTGCTGGGAGATTATGTGCAGTCGGGGGATCTCCATCTTGCTCTCCACCCCCCCCACCCAGCTCAGTGTTCTTCCTGCCCACCCAAGGGCCAAACTCCAGTGGCATGGCACCCATTTGTGCCCCAGAATACCAACTAACATCCATAATTTGACAGACACTGTGAAGATGGTCTAAACAGATGGTTTGTGTACGCCCCCAGCCCCTGCCACCAAAATGACTTGCTGTAGCCCTTAAAGAGCTCAGCCGCCTCCTCCTGCAAGTGAGGAAGATCTGGTTCAAGTGGAACTTCGCTCTTAACCTTTACAGAAGCTCTACTTCGAATTTATTTCTAGAGAGCCACATTCATCCCTTACCAAGCGCTGCCCTTAGAGCTCCAGAGTGAGGGTATCTGTGAGCCAGCAAGCCAGATGACTGGTGAAATGGACAAGTTTCTGGAAACATACAGTGAGTTTGGGGAATGTTTCGGGGGCAGGAGTCAAAAATGTTAGTTGTGTTAACATAAAGGGGAAATGAAAGGAGCTATTAACAAAACAAAACAAAACAAAACCTGTTAAGATGCACCATAGGCTGTCAAGATTCTGTGGGCCACCCCATTTTCCTTAAGCTGCTTGCCAAAAAAAAAAAAGGGGGGGGGTTCAAAGTGCCATTACCTAAGGGATGAGCCAACTTGTCATAGCCCGCATGATAAAAAACAGCTTTGGCTGTGCCTTGTACCTGACGTGAGGTAAGACTTGTGTTTACACATGATTTTTGAACAGTTGAGCTTTAAGTCGCAACTGAGACAACTAGCTGCCTGTGGGTTTTCTCAAAATTGGGAATAATGTAGGAGAGGGTTTTTTGTTGTTTCTTCTAAAAATAATGCAAGTTTTTATCATTTTGGGTGGGAGGCTTCACTCACAATGGTCTCTGGGGAACTAAAACCACTGTCCTGGGAGATCATGTTGGGGGGTGGTGATGCCTGGTCAGAGGGATGGAGATTTGTTGAGTTTCCAAACAAAAATGAAGCCAAAGGCTGTGGGAAAACCACTTCTCAACTCCAGGGAGACCGGAGTCTGGGAAGGGAGCCTGAGGCTGGGTCCTATATTCTCACCGTTTGCTTTTAGCAGCTCATCTTTCCACTGCCATGACCACGGTTTGGGGTTGGGGGGTTGGGGTTCTGCTTTTTCCTTTTCTTTCTTTCTTTGGCCTCCCCAGAGATCACGTTCTTGTAAGTAAGGGGTGAAATTTGGTCTCGGCGTTGAAGTGCTAGTTCCACGAGCTGGCTTCTTCCCTGCGATCCCAAAACACTATGGAGTGAGCTCTCGACTCAGTCATTTATGTACTGGATGTGGTCCTCCTGTGTAAGCGATTCCTTGATGTCCACTTGGGAAGACGAGCACTTTTATCCACAAGAGAAAATAAAGCCGTTGTGCCCCGACGCGGTTGTTCTTTTACTGCCATTAGTGAAACGTGGTTTTCAGGAAGAGGGCGGTTGATTCACAGCCAAGTAGATGGTTGGTCGAGGGCCATGTGTAATGCAGCAGAACCTGGATCAGGCTAGGGAGGAGGCTCAGGTCTGGGGCTGCCTCTAGCCAGGCCTCATGTCCACCACCTTGGCCCTGGAAAGTTTGCTGTGTGGTAGGGAAGATGATCTGTCCTCCCCACAACAGCCAGAGGGAACCTGTGAATACCCAAGTCTTCCCATTGCTCCTCTGCTCAGAGCCCTCTGTGGCTCCCACTCAGTAAATGCCTGAGTCTTCCCTGCAGCTCACAAGGTCCTGTGTGATCTGACCTGTCACTTCCTCAATTCTCCCCACTTGCCCCCCCCCACATTTGCTCCGCTGCAGTCACATTGACCTTGCCGCTATTTGAACACACCAGGCCCCTGCCTCAGGGCCTTTGCACTGGCTGGTCCATCTGCCTGAAGTCAAATGGCTCTTCTCACTCACCCCCTCTTTCAGGTCTTTGTGCAAATCTCACCTTCCCATTGGCCCCCCTTCCCCTCCTCTCCCCTCCCTGTTTAGTACTGCAACCTCTCCGCAGCATTTCTGATGTCCCTTTCCCTGTGTCCTTCCCCCCCCATAGCCCCTAGAATCCAAACTACTGTATACTTATTATATATTTATATATATGTATATTATATTATGTATATAATATATATATTTACTTGTTTAACTTAAACAAGTGTCTCTTTCAATATAATACCAGTCCCTCAAATGCAGGGATGTTTTATTTTTCACTACTACACCCAGCTCAGTTCCTGTTTGATACAATAAAAAAGAAATATTTGGTTTTTGTCGCTGGTTCCCGGCACACAGCTCCTAAAACCTTTGGGATCTCTCTGGAGTGATAAGGGTGTCTTTTGTATGCTAATGAGGGGCCTGGTGGTGGGGAGTCTCTAGGTGGCTTCAGGAGGGGGGCTGGTCTCCAGAAAGACCACACCACGACTAGAGGGTGGGAACTATGAACCCAGCCCCCTGACCTTAAAGTGGAGGAGAGACAAGCTGGAGATTGAGTTAATCGCCAATGGCCAGTGATTTTATCCATCATACTTAAGTGATGAAACTTCCATAACAGCCTAAAAAACAAGGGACACCTGGCCGGCTCAGTTGGTTAAGTGCCTTTGGCTCAGGTCATGATCTCAGGGTCCTGGGATCAGCCCCACGTTGGCTCCCTGCTCAGTGGGGAGTCTGCTCCCTGCTCCCTCCCTGCTCAAAATTCAGAGAGCTTCTGGATTAGAAACACAATCACGGTGCTAGGAGGGTGGCATGCCGGCAGAGGACATGGAAGCTCTGCACGCCTTCTCCGTACCTTACCTACGAGTTTGGCTGTTCTTGATTTATATATCCTTTCATAATTAACTAATGATAGTAACTAAAGTGCTTACTGAGCTCTGTGAGATTCTAATTATCAAGCCTGACAATCCATCAAGCCTTGTTGGAGCCCCCTGATTTTGGAGCCAAGTCAGTCAGAAGTATGGGTCCCCTGGAGACCCAATACTTGAAACTGGCATCTGAAGTGGGGGCAGTCTAGTCGGACGGAGCCCTAAAGTTTGTGGTATCTGCCTCAAACACTGGGTAGTTAATGTCAGAATTGAACTCTAGGACACCCAGTTGGTGCCCGGAGAGAATCGTTTGGTGTGAAACCCCTCCACACACACACACATTTGATGTCAGAAGTGTCATGAGTAAAAGTAGTTCATTTATGACTTACAGCCGGCGCACCCTAGATGTTTGTTGAGTGAATGTATGAACTGCAGAGCTCAAGTGGGAGCTAGATCCACGGACTCACATACTGTCCCAGGCTTCTCAACTGCTCTTTGTGCCTTTGCTCCGCAGCCTTGCCCTCGCGAGGTGAGGTGAGCTTCAAGGGAACTGGTCATCTTATCCCAAGTCCCCAAAACGAGTACCCACGGCCAGCTTGGGGCCCACGCCCACACCTGAACCTGAACGGCCGGCAGAGAGATGGAACGTGCTGATTGGCTGGCTGAGACCACGTGACGGCCCAGCTTAGGGACAGAAATCTGAGAGGTGGGCTGGCTCCAAAGGAAACTGGTGTGTTCTTTCCTGAAGCAGGAGGTGATTGCAGCAATAGCAAATACTACACGTGCTCATTTTAGCTTCCTCAAAATCCACCCCCCCAAAGAAAGATAGAAAGATTAGATAAACTGCCATTTTGCAATCCTCAATGAAAGAACTGATTCAGGTAGTTGGCGGTCATTGGATGAAGCCCTTGAAGTGACCATGGCCCACCCTTAGATTCTGGGTGAATGTCAGAGTCCCCACACCCCAGGGCCCATCCAATTAAATCAGAAGGTGGAAGTCGGGGTGCAGGCTTGGGTATTTTGTGAAAGTTCCCAGAGGGCCGAGAACCAGTGACTTACAGGAAATATGGGGGGAGGGAGGAAGAAGATCAAGGGTTTACAGTAGAAGCAAGGAGTAAATCATGCTCTTTTTTAAAGATCTTATTTATTTATCTATTTGAGAGAGAGAGAGAGAGAGGACAAAATGGGGGAGGAGCAGAGGAAGGAGAAGCAGTCTTCCGGCTGATCAGGGAGCCCCATGTAGGGCTCGATCCCAGGACCCCAAGATCATAACCTGAGCCAAGGCAGATACGTAACCGTCAGAGCCACCCAGGGGCCCCCATACTCTTTCTGCAACAAATCAAAGGTTGGTGGGGTGGGAGAAGTGGAGGTCGAACCTGGAGCAGTGGTTCCCCAAGCATCTGTGCTTTAACAAAACATTCAGGGGATTCTAATGCATGCTCTAATTTGAGAACAGCTGGGTTAGAATAAAAGGGATTTAGGAAACATGACAAGAAAACGTGATATGTGGACCTTATTTGGATCCACTGCAAAGAAACCAAATGTGTAAGTGCTGGGGGATGTAAAGTACAGCATGGTGACTAGAGTTAATAACACTGTATTACACATTTGGAAGTTACTAAGAGAGTAGATCTTTTTTTTTTTTTTAAAGATTTTATTTATTTATTTATTTGAGAGAGAGAATGAGAAAGAGAGAGAGCATGAGGGGGGGAGGGTCAGAGGGAGAAGCAGACTCCCCGCTGAGCAGGGAGTCCGATGCGGGACTTGATCCCGGGACTCCAGGATCATGACCTGAGCCGAAGGCAGTCGCTTAACCAACTGAGCCACCCAGGCGCCCCTAAGAGAGTAGATCTTAAAAGTTCTCATCACAAGAAAAAAATTTCTAACTATGTATGGCGATGTTTATTAGACTTATTGTGGCCATGATTCTGCAGTGTATACTAATATCAAATCATGTTGTACACCTGAAACAAATATGTTACATGTCAATTATATCTCAATAAAAAACAAACAAAATGCCAAGAAATCAATGTAAAAGGACATTTTTGAGCCAATCAGGAAAATTCCGATGGTGGCCTGGGTGTTGAGTGATAACAAGGAATGGTTGCTAATTGTCTTAGATGCTGCCTTGGTCCATTTGGGCTGCTATGAACAGAATACCACAGACTGTGTAGCTTATAAACAAAAGACATTTCTTTCTCCCACTTCTGTAGGCTGGGAAGTTCAAGATCAAGGTGCCAGGAGATTCAGTGTCTGGTGAAGGAAGACTAATGTCCTGGGTCATTGATGGCTGGATTTTTTTTTTTTTTTTTCCCTGTGTCCTCTTGTGGAAGAAGCAAAGGAGCTCTCTGGTGTCTCTTTTATTTTATTTTTTTTAAAAGATTTTATTTATTTATTCATGAGAGACGGGGGGGCGGGGGAGAGAGAGAGAGAGAGAGAGAGAGAGAAGCAGGCTCCCAAGGAGCAGGGAGCCCGATGCGGGACTCGATTCCAGGACCCTGGGATCATGACCTGAGCCGGAGGCAGTGGCTTAACCGCTCATCTGAGCCGCCCAGGCGCCCTGGTGTCTCTTTTATAAGGTACTAATCCCATTCGTGAGGGCTCAGCCTTCATGACCTAGTCACCTCCCAGAGGCCCCACCTCCCAAGACCATCACATTGGGAATTGGGTTCCAACATAGGAATTTGGGTGGGGAGGGGACACAAACATTTAGTCAGGTGTGATGACAGCCTTGGGGCTGATGCAGATGTATACATTTTTAGAGATCTCTGTGTACTGAAGTATGAGGGGAGAAATGACATTGTCTGGGATTCGTTTCTAAATACTTCATCAAGGGGGAAAAGGGATCATGAAACAAACATGTCAGACTCGAGGTGATTGTTGAATCTGGGTGATGGGTATATAGGAGTTTCTTTGGAAAATTCTTTTGGTTCTTTTTGTGGACATTTTAGATTTTTTTTTTCACAAAATAATTTACAAAACAACACAACTGCATGAGAAGGGAGGCCATGTCATCCCATTTAGGTACTTAGGGCTAAAACCATTGCTAGCTGCCATAAAAAAATAAAATGAAGGAAAAAGGATCAGGATAACGGTGCTTTGCAAAATCTTTTATTACCAATCTCTTCCAAAAGCAGTGAGGGCCACAGAGAAATAATGAGACAAAATCTCCAGCAGCCAGGTGGACCAGATGTCCTGTCCTCCCCCCCAGCTCCGTCTGCCTCCTTTGATGAATAGCAGCAAAGTGGTAAGAATTCCTGGCAGCTGAAATGGGAGAAGAAAGAAATACTGAACCAACTTAAGGGACCTCTGGAACCCAAAGCAAATTGGATACACTGACAAGGGGAGAGGAGTATCTTCTTCCGGAAAGGTGAAGGGCAAGGGTTTTACAGAGAGCGGAAGGCCCCGGATGGTCAGTCTGGGGCTGCTTTGAACCTGTTTCCACAATCAGTCTCAGTAGTGAGCAGAAGATGGAGGCCTTTTGTGATGCACCTGGGTCATTTTCCCTTTGTTTCCCGCAGATCTTATCTCCACCCTCTTTCTGCCCTACCCTGGGTCCTGCGAACTACACTTCCCAGAACGTCCTGCCCTTTCACTTCCGGTTACGGAACCGCAACCGCCCAATAGGAGACACCTACCTGCAGGAGATGGGAAGGCTGGAGGAAAAGTTGGAGTATTTCTTCCCCACTGCCTCCTCTCTTCGGCCCACCCTGAGCTCTTCAAGACTGCAGCTGTGGGCAGATGGCCCCTCTTCCTTGGCTCTTGCTTTCCCCACCCCTTCAGGCCCAGAAGTAAAAGCTCCCCGTGTTGCTAGCCCCTCAGCACCTCATCCCTCCGTTTTTCTTAACCCTGCCCACACCTCAGCAAGGAAGCCCCTGAAAACTTCTTAAAAGGACCACCTGGGGGCTGCATTCTGTTTCCTGCTGGGATCTTGACTATTATGACCTCCTTGGGGAAGAGGGTGTGGTATAGTTTGCAAATATATATTCGATATAAATTTGTACAATGAAAAAAATGATTTTTATTTTTTATTTATTATTTTTTAAAGATTTTATTTATTTATTCATAAAAGACAGAGAGGGAGAGGGAGAGGGAGAAGCAGGCTCCCCGCTGAGCAGGGAGCCTGATGCGGGACTCGATCCCAAGACCCTGAGATCATGACCTGAGCCGAAGGCAGACGCTTATCCATCTGAGCCACTCAGGCGCCCAAAATACCCATTTTTAAAATACAGGTCAGATGGGGCGCCTGGGTGGCTCAGTTGGTTAAGCGACTGCCTTCGGCTCAGGTCACGATCCTGGAGTCCCTGGATCGAGTCCCGCATCGGGCTCCCTGCTCAGCGGGGGAGTCTGCTTCTCCCTCTGACCCTCCCCCCTCTCATGTGCTCTCTCTCTCTCATTCTCTCTCTCAAATAAATAAATAAATAGAAAAAAAATACAGGTCAGATGGATGAGACTCGTTCATCTCTCAACTGGCAGTGATCTGCAGAAGAACACTACTGCATCTTGAAAATCAATCTGAGGGAAGTACCTGAGTGAAAAAAAAAAAAAAAAATTCTTGGGGGGGGCGGGAGGGAGGATGGAGGCTTTTTTTTTTTTTTTTTTTACAAAATAAGAGCTTTATTGAGAAAATTCATATATCATACACTTCACCTTTCTAAAGTGTACAGGTAAGTGGTGTAATCCCTTTATCTTTAGTGTTACTACTGAGAAGGTAGGATTTCTATATGCCATTTCGCTATTTGTTTTCCATTTGTGTTTTGCCCTTGTTCTATTTGCTCACCTCAACTTTCTTTTGTGTTAAATATTTTCTAGTGCAGCATTTTAATTCCCTTGTTTCTTTTGCTGTATTTTAAAGTTCTTTTCTTAGTGGCTGTCCTTGGGATTACAATTAACATCTTAACTGTTTACAACCTAGTTTGGATTAACACTAAATGAATTTCAGTAGCATACAAAAACTCTACTCCTATATATCTCTTTTCTTTCCACCCTCCTTTGTGCTACTATTGTCATGTGAATTATGTCTTTTTTTTTTTTTAAGCAGCTAACTGTTTTCTTTATACAAATATTAAAGGTCTAAGCCATGGGTCCCTCATTACTGTACTTCAAATAATTTTTGAATTATTTGAATTTTATGAGGGGTTGAGTTTCTATTAATCAATGCAGAAATTTTCAAAAGGTTAAACCGCCAGAGAAGACTTACACTACAGAGCGAGCATAACATCCTTTCTCGCTACTCTCACGAATTAAAAATGCACCATCAGGTTTCCCATAAAGCAAGTCCTCTGCTTGTACTCGATTGATATCCTCAACAAACCAGGTTTTCTCATCGTAATGGGGCAGGTTTCCATCTTCCTCATTGATAAAATAGGTCTCATCAGCATCCTCATTCCTGATTCCCAACCAGGCATTTAGGCGCTTCTGTCTCACTCCTTTGTGACTGAGCTATACAAGGTGCTGATCTCGGATCTTGCGCAGCTGGATCAGGTCAGGTTTGATACTGTTCATTTTTTTTTTTTTTATCTATTTCCTGGTTGTCCAAAGCTTGTTTCTTCAAATCCTGCTCTAGATGCATTTTGCTATCATGAATCTCACCCAGACATGATTTCAATTTGTCATAATTCATCATAATTCCGTGAAAATATTGACATATTAAGGCTAAAACAGGAACCAAGCAGAAACATTCTATAATGTGAGCATAGTCCTAATATCTTAAGTGTGGTAGACATCTGTTGTTTTTGCCTAGCCCATATCCATTCTCATTCTTTTGGTAATGGCACCTTGATGTTCCCTCGTCATGTGAATTACATCTTAATATCAGTCTGTAAACACAGTTTTATAGGTATTGCCTTATGCGGTTGTCTTTTAAATGAGGTAGGAAAAGAAAATTCAGTCCTGGGATCGAGCCCCACATTGGGCTCTGCACTCAGCGCAAAGTCTGCTTGGGGTTCTTCCTCTCCCCCCCTGCTCATGCTCTCTCTCTAACTCTCTCAAAAATTAAAAAAAAAAAAAACAAACAAACACGCACTTATCACTACCATACAATAAATTGTCGAATTGAAAAAAATCATATTTCTTGTCTTCCGCTGCTGATTAGAATGCCCACGAGGGCAGAGATTTTTGCCTGTGGAGTTCATTGTTGTATCCACAGTGCCTACAACAATGCCTGGTGCAGAGGTGCTCAGTAAGTTTTGTGGACTGAAAAAGTGAACATTAAAACTCTTCTAATGGCTTTCCATCATCCTCAGAATAAAGGTCAAACCCCTCTCTGCAGCCTACAAGGTCTTGTATGATCTACCCCATCAGTTCCCTGCCCTCAGCTCTCCCTACGCCTCTTCTCACTCACCCTGCTCCAGCCACACTGGCCTCCCTGCTGGTCTGGGAATAAGCCAAGCCTATTGCTACCTCATGGCCTTTGCACCAGCTATTTCCTCCGGATTCTCCCATACACACACATAGTTATCCCTCATCTCCTCGGGTCACTGGCTAAATGTCACCTCCTCAGGGAAGTCATCCCTGATTCCCTTCCCGATCCTGTCACCCTGCTTTACTCCCTTACCAGAAGGGATCTCTAACTGAAATGATCATCCATCCCCCACCCCCACTTGAATGTCAGCTCCACCATAGCAGGGATCCCCAGTGCCCAGAACAGTGCTTGGCACACAGTAGGTGCTCTGAAAGAGCTCAGTGTGTTCCAAAGGGCCTAGACCTTACCTGTATCACTGCTGCCCCAAGTGAGCCCCCACTCAAGTTGAAGCTCTGAGTCTTGGTTATTTTCAAGAGCTTGGGGAAACAGCCCTGAGGATACAAATATCAAACCAAAGGACCTCGTTAAGGGCTTCTGGACTCCAAGTTCCCATCGGCCCCACCCCTTGGGCCAATGACGAGAAGGGGACAAAGCCACAAGGACCTTGACTCCTCACTTGACTGCTTCCCCTATCCCAGCATCTTCCCGGGCCTCCTCATTCCCTCACCTCACCCAGAACATACCGTGTACTCCCCAGTATCTATCTGTAGTGACCTCCAAGTGTGGTGAATAGGAGTATGACCAGATGTCCCAAGTTATTTTGCTAGTTGTGTGACCCTGAGAAGTCGCACACCACTCTGTGCCTCAGTTTTCCCAGCTGTAAATGGGACCAACTGGATCTGCCACCCAAGTTTTTGTGAGGATTAAGAGAAAAAATCTACATGAAGTACATAACAGCAGCCTGACAGCCAGTATTCAGTAACTGTTAGTTATTTCTGGGTGCTCTTTACATGTGAACAGAAGGGCTAACTAACATGTATCCAGCACCTTCTCAGCCGTTTACATGTGTTTTCTCACACTTATTTATCACTGTAACCTCAAAAGGTGGGTACTATTCTTTTTTTCTGTTTTGTAGGTGAAGAAACAGGTTCAGAGAAATTAAGAGACCAGACACAATGTGTGGGTAGAATAGCGACCCACTTCCCCTTCTGCAGTCACGGAGATGCTCCCCTTTCTAGGCCCCTGGCAATTCTTGCTTCCAGAAGCTTGAGTTGCCTTGAGCTTGCTCCTGACAGGATTCAGTGCCCCCTTTACTCACTATGCAGTGATTAAGTGTCTACTGTGAGCTAAGCACTGGGAACCCAGCGATGTACAAAACAGACATAATTCCTGCCTTGGTGGGGCCAACATCTGAGTGGTGAACACAGGTAATCAATACAGCAATAACACTGTCAGGTGGTGAGTAAGTGCTGGGCAACTTTCTGTGCCTCAGTCTCCTCATCTATAAAATGGGAGAAAAGCACTCCCCACCTCATCATGGCGTGGGATGGGGATGGAATTCACAAAGTGAGTGCCCGGCCCCGTGGGGAGCTGGCACTCTCCTAGAATGATCATTGTTCATCATTACTGCTATATTGTAAGCCCTCTGTAAGGTAGGCAACGTAGCCCAGGGAATGGACTCAGGCCAAACCCAGCTCCACCAGAGCCACTTGAACTGACCTTGAACTGTCCCCTCCCTGAACCTCAGTTTCCCCATATGAGAATGAGAATGGGAACCCTAATCCCTCAAGGCTGTGTAGCCAAAATGAGCTGAACACCCAATGACAGTTGCTTTCTTTTGCCCTTGACCACTCTCGCTGGGGTTCTGGCAAATACACAGTTTTTCTAAAAGTCACCCACCCTTGGGGTGTACGTAGGTGACCCCCAACAAGGTCTCGAGTGACCCCTGGTGGATGATGTCTGTGGACACGTCACGCCCGTCGCAGGCTGTGGTCCCGATGGATTTACAGCAGCTCCCAGGGTAGCAGTAACCAGAAAAATCTGTGTAGTTCTTCCCCCAACAGCACTTTAGCTGCAGAGAGGAGAATAATCACTTGAAGACTCCCTTTCAGATGTCAAAATAATAATAATAACAAAAAGCCAATAGAAATCATGGTCACCATGGCTACTGTCCAGAGCAGTCATGCTATTCTGGGGCTTGTGCTGAATGCCTCCCTTACTCCAGCCCGTCGTGGCTCAGAACCCTCCGTGGCTCTCATCTTATTTGGGGTAAAAGCTGAATGCCTCACCGTGGCCCCCAAGGCCTGGCATGATCTGCCCAGTCACCCCTGGGCCCTCATCTGCCCCCACTCTCCCTCTTATTCACTCAGCTCCAGCCACACTTGTCCCCTCACTGTTCCTCAAACACACTGGGCAGGCTCCAGCCTCAAGGCCTTTCTACAGGCTGTTCCCTCTTTCTGGAATGCTGTTCCCTCAAATATCTGCACAGCTCCCTCACTCACTTCATTCAGGTGTCTATTCAAATGTCCCTCCTTGGGAAGGCCTGCCCTGACCCCTCCTTCCAAGTTAGCCACAGCCCCTGTATCAGTCAGGCTGGGTTCAGGGATGCTGCATAACAAAGGACCCCTCAAACTCAGCAGTTCATTTCTCACTCACACTACATGCCCCTCACAGCTTGGCAGGGGAACCCCATTTCTTGAAACCATTCAAGGACTCGGGCTGATGGAGCAGCCACCATCCGGGTGGTTCCACTATCTTGGTGGGAGGAAAGAGTGCTCTTGAGAGCCCTGTGCTGGCAATGAAATAATTTGGCCCAGAAATAACACGCATGACTTCTCACAGCTCATTAGGCAGAACTCGTCACATGACCCCCCCCCCCCAAAGGGGCTAGGACAGATCATCCCATTGTGTGGTGACAATAGGTGACAAATAGCACCTTCGAGTAAACAAACCCTTAATCTCTGTGCCCTTACCCTGCCTTGTTTCCCTTCATAGTATTCATCACATCTGACACTAATAATTACTTAGCAGTTTCTTGTCCATGTCCCCACTTAAGCGTCAGTAACACAGGGCAAGGATCTTGTTTTGTGCGCTGCTGTGTCCCCAGAGCCCTGAACAATGCCCAGCACGCAGTAGGTGCTCAATAAGGATTAACAGAAGGGCTGTATGAATGAATGAGAGATGTCCTCTACCACGTCAAGCCTCAGCAGCCAAAACTGGGAGGCAGGAAGCCCCCTACCCATCATGTGCCGCCTCCCAAGCCTGCACGTGACCCCATAGCAGTTCCTGTGCCCAAAACTCAGATGTGAAACACTCCTAGAAACAGGCAATGCTTTTTCCTTCCAAACCTGCCCTGGCCTCGGGGGCCCTTCTAAACTACCTGCCCCAAGAGCTTCTGGTGACTTCTGCAGGCTGGTCCTGCTCCTTAAACACCAAGACTCAAGAAGTAAATGCCACCGCCTCCCACCCCGGAGGGTTAGTTATTCAGAAAGAGAGAGAGAGAAAATAACAAATGTTGGCAAAGTTGTAGAGAAACTAATACCCTTGTGCATTGCTGATGAGAATGTGAAAGGGTTCAGCTGTGGTGGAAAACAGTATGGAAATTCCTCAAAAAAATTAAACACAGAATTAGCAGATGATCCAGCAATTTCATTTCCGTATATATACCTAAAAGAACTAAACAGAGACTTGAAGAGAGACGCATACGTCCATGTTCATGCAACATTATTCACAAGAGATAAAAGGTGGGAGTAACCGAAGCGTCCATCGGTAGGGGAATGAATAAATCAAACGTGGTGTACCGTACAATCGCGATGCACAGATGATTCCACCTTAAAAAGAAAGGAGATTCTGACCCATGCTTACAACCTGGAGGACATTATGCTCAGTGAGAAAAGCCAATCACAAGAGGACAAATATTGTAGGATTCTACTTCCACGAGATCCCTAGAGGAGTGACGTGCCCAGGGACAGGAAGTAGAATGGTGTGGTGGCAGGTGATGGATGGTGGCGATGGTTGCGTAACCACATGAACGTACTTACTACCCCTGAACTGGACTCTCAAAAATGGTTAAGATGGCAAGTTTATGTTCTGTGTCTTCCACCACAATAACACACCCAGGATGGGGAGCTCACCTTCTCCATGACCAAGTCCCATTCTGTGGAATAGTCATCCGGCTCATCGTAACCTCTGTAATTCTTCCTCGGGGTCACGAAGATGTGTTCTAAGGCCACTTCTTGAACCTCAAAGATGAAACTGGAAGTGATGGGCACACAAAACAGCAAAGTGCCCCATGTGGGGAGGTTTCCTGGGGACAGAGAGGGGAGGTGGGGCTCCCCTTCTGCTTTCTGTCTTTTTTTTAAGAGTCTTATTTATTTATTTGAGAGAGAGAATGAGTGGGGGAGGAGCAGAGGGAGAGGGACCACCAGACTCCCTGCTGAGCAGGGAGCCGAAGGCAGGGCTCAATCCCAGGATGCAGAGATCATGACCTGATCCAAAGGCAGACACTTAACCGACTGAGCCACCCAGGCGCACCCTCCTTTCTGTTTTCTTTTACTTCCTTGACAGTCCCCCCTCCGACCCCGCCAGCTACGAGTCTTCACTGGAGGGGGACAATTTCTGGCTGCCATCACCCCCGAGAGAGGGACAGGGGAAGAGCGTGGGTCTCGAGCTCAGTGCATCTGGTTGTACCCACCACAAACTTGAATCATCTGCTCTTTTGAATCACCCACATGCCTGCTACACCTCCGATTTGGCTGGAACTTGATTAAAGATTTGAATATCATCTTTAGCAACTGAATCAATCGCTGCACAAAAGGGGCAAATTTCATTTTCTATTTTTTAAATCAAGGTCTAAATAAAAAAGTTTTCTGGCTGAGGTGAAATAGTCACATGGTTCAAGATTCACAAAGCACAGAAGGGTAGACCATGAAAAGTCTCCCTCCCACCTTTTTCTCCCAGCCAACAAGTTCCTCCCACTCCACTACGGTGACGGTGACTGTTTCCTGTGTCCCAAAAGAGATACTCGATCTGTGTCAAAGCAAAGCATAGTTTCATTATTCTTCTCCCTCTATACTATTCTCATTGTTCTGCATATGGGCTGTTGTTAGCAAGAGTAACAGTCGCCCTTGGTGCCCCACGCACATCCCAGTGGCGTTTTGTCATTTCTGTGCACACTGGCCTGGCTTCCCACTGCCAGTAACCGAGGGCTCTCTGTGGCCTCTCAGCCCACATGTGCCCTGCGAGCAGCCCTCAAGCAATGCTGATGGGAGGTGGATCAATATCGCAGCTCCCTTGCCCCTCAAGTGGGAAAACAAGACACGCATTCGTTGCTGCTCCCAGATGCCCCCCCCCACCCCAGGACTGAGCCCAGCTGCCTGCAGGGTCGCCCTTTTCCCCTGTCCCCTCCTGGTGCCTCTTGGGATCCCCTCTCAAATAAACGGTGAGCATTATTATAAATGAACCACCCTCCTACTGATGCTTACAATCTTTTGCACACCTCCGTGTATACGTCCTTCTGCACCCAAGCAAGCAAATCCTTGGATGATTCCTAGGGATGGGAGAGCTGGGTCGAAGCATCCATGCTTTGTCATTTTGACGGATCTGGCTAAATAGCCGTCTGTTTCTGACACATTTCAAAACCCCAGCAGCTTTTGCAGCTTTGCCCATTACTTCTTAACACCTCACCACCAAAAACGCAAGGGAGATGGTGAATGAAATTAACTCGGCCAGTCTCTTGAGGCCTTCGAGGGGACGGCTGAGGTTTTTGGTTCTTCACCCCATTTCTGGAGACCCCATCTCCAGCCCCAGGGACCCATGGGCCAGGGGTATCACCAGGTGGGCGGCTCCCGGGGGGAGGGGTGGTGCCTCTCGCGATTTCGAGTTCTTTCTAATGCCGAGTGGGAGCAACAGCACAGTACTTAAAATGTGGAATAAGGCAAGGACCACGGCGGTGACTATGATTTCAGCAATGAGGATGATAACCGTGGACAGGAAACACTGGAAGACACAGAGGGGTCGGAAGGGGCTGAGAGCCTGCTCAGCCGTGTCCCTGCAGGGGTGGGGACTGTCCCTCCCCCCACCCCTGGGCCATGGAACCTCATCAGTTTGAAAGAACTCAGCCTTGGGTGGGGCGTGGGGCTTCTTTCTTTCCCGTGGCGTTTTCCTGCATGTCGTCCAGGATGTTGGCACTGAGGTATTCTTGGAGCCACTAGCTGGAGCCCGGCACTTTCTGAGCGCCTGGGAGACCTGGAGGGGACCTCTAGGTTAGTAAAGGCTCTGTGCATCGACAGCAGGAGCCTGTGGGGAAACAGGAGGAATGGTGGGAAGGACAGAACACAGAAAGAAGCAGGAGGTGGGAGGGGCCTGGGGTGAGAAGCGGGCCGAGAACTCTTGCAAATGGGGGAAGGAGGGAGGGGGCTGTAGGGAAGATGCAGGGTGACAGGTCGGTGGCTGCAGGGTTGGTGGTAGTGGTGGGGGGCTTATGTTTGCTGGCCTATGTTTCAGACAAAATTCACAAGCCCAGTGGAAAACGACGAGAAAGACAGCAAGCAGAGGGGATGTCTTGAAGTCACCCATCAAGGAGAAACTGCTGCTCAGTCTAGGCCTCAGTTTCCCCATAGATACAGTGTGGGCATGGGACCAGCTCAAGGGGTGTCTGTAAGTTCTGGAGAGCCTCTGGAAGCCAGATGGGGGCAAAGTAGGTCAGCTCCTGGCTCTCCTTTCATCTATTTGATTATGATTACTAAAATCTGTTTGCCAATTGAGGCTTTGAGTTGCCAGACCGGCCCATGGCTGGGCTTATCTAGTCCTGATATGGAAAGGCAGGAAAACGCAGTGGATACACACCCCGGGACCCCAGAACCCACAAGGACACATGGGAGCAGGGCTTAGCGGTTGTGGGACCCCAGACAAGTGGCTCATGTAACAGATTGTGAGGATTAATATTAATATTACTACCTCCCTGCCTCTGGGTGACTGAGGTGGCTGGAGGATAGATATCCAGGCGTCCGTATGTCCTACAGGTTCCATCTTCAGAATCTATCCCCAATCTGCCCCCTTCTCCCCCCTTCCACAGCCTCACCCGGCCCAGCCCCCACTGTCTCCCGCCTGGACCAGCACAGTCCCTCCACCCTGGTCTCTCAGTCAGGCCCTCGTCCCCCACACTCTGTTCCCCTAATGACCACCAGAGGGCGCTTGTGAGCACCTGAGTCAGGGCACATCCCTCCTCTGCTCAGAATCCTCTGTGGCTCCCAACACCGTAAAAAATGATTTTGCTTTTCTGAGTGAGGTCTCAGAGGCCTTGGAGGGACAGACGCGAAGGGCAAAGTTAATCTGATTTGCTGATGGGTTGGATGTAGGGTGTGAGGGCTCTTTGATTCCTCCAAGCTAAACTATGAATAAAATAGCATCCAGATTACATTGAAAATAAAATGGACTATTTCGGAACAGGACATGTCCAATAAATATTTGCTGAATGGAGTAATCAAGAAAGAAAATGAGATAATAGAGTTTCAGGGAGGAGGAGGGTGGGGGAGGGGTGCTTTTTAACAATGGAGATTGTTTATGCTCTGAAAGATGACCCTACTAAGGATCTCTCTGAAACCCCCAAATTGAAATAACCAGAGTTTTGCAACAACACAGTGAAGGAAGGAAAACAAAAAATGCTGGAGACAAATTTTACCTAAGGTGGGCTAGTCCACTCAGACAAGATTCTAAGGGAAATGGGAGTGGGGAAGATGGGAGCCGGCCTTTGGGGAGTTAACCAAGGCTATATGTGAGAATGAGCAAGACATGTAAAATCTACAACATGCTGTCTGCATGATCATGCTTAAAACTTTCCTACCTCATGTTCTTGAACATGTACTTGGCAAACATGAGGATAACAACTGTATTGTGTTAGTGGGAACATATCCATGGGCTGATGGAACAGAGCAGTGTGCCCAGGAAAGACCCAAGCATAATGGAAATTAGTGTAGGCAGAAGAGGACTGACCCCTACCTCACACCACACACAACTAATCAAACTCCCAAAAGCCAAAGAGCTAAAAGGGAGAAATTAAGAACTTAAAATTATGGGAAGAAAACCTAAGAGACTAGAATGTATGGCCTGGGGTAGGAGAGGAGTTCTAACCGAGATATATCATAAAGGAAAAGATGGATGCATCTGATGCCATCATATGAGACACCACAAACACTGAAAAATAGGGGATGCTGATGGCAGGGGTTTGTAATAGGTGCAAGGAAGGATTCACATGGTGGTGGGGTGGGAGTTTTGGGGGCTATGTGCAGATCCAACTCACAAACAAACCTCCAACTCACAAACCTCTGCTTTATTTGCTTGCTCCATACCACCCAGCAAAGCCAAGCAGCACCATGATGCAGCCCATTGCCAGGCACAGGTAGCCAGTGTGAAGGAGATATGCAGAGGCCAGCCCAAGGACCCTTGTCAGGACAGCCCCTCTGAACTTAACATAGATACCCAGGCCAGTGGGGATCACACCAGACATCTTTAGGACAAAAATCAGACAGGGAAAAACAGTCTGTTAGTTGTATACAAATAGAACTCTCGCTGGGGGTGGGGGTTGGGAGGGGAAGAGCAAAGGCAAATAAAAATCAGCAAAAACATTAAAAAATATTAATACCCGGAGTTAGTGAGGATGTGGAGAGACATTCTCACATATTGTTGCCAGGCAACAAGCTTTTTTGAGGGAGAGGGTGTGCAGAAGGACACTTTGCAGTTCATATTTAAAATCTTAAAGGTTTTACAGTAAAATCCTTTACCTAGAAATTACATTTGTAGTTATTCAGCCTAATATCTGATCTGCTAATAGACACACACATACATATCTCAGTATCAGAATGCTCAGGGATAAAACTACCTGAAGCAATCAATAATACACATTGGATAGGTAAATCATGGGACAGCCATGCAATGGGACTCTAGACAGTTATTTTAAATAATGCTCTAGGGCAAGGGTTGGCAATTTTTGTGTATGTGAAAAGCCCCAGATATTGTGAGTTTGCAGGCCATAAGACCTCTGCTGAAACAATTCAGCTCTGTCAGTGTAGCTCAAAAGCAGCCATGTGCAATTCATAAACAAATATATTTTATTTACAAATAAATAATATCTATCTATCTGTCTATTTACAAGGCTGTAGTTGGCTGATCCTTATTGTAGGAGGAGAATGTTTATTGATATGGTAGCCATGTTCTTTGGTATTTATACAACTGAGCTGAAAACTAATGTTTGCACAAAAACCTGCACATGGATGTTTCTAGAAGCTCATAGTCGCCAAAACTTGAAAGCAACCAAGATAGCCTTCAGCAGGTGAATGGATAAACTGTGGTACATTCAGTGGAAGATTAGCACTAAAAAAAAAGCCATTAAGCCATGAAAAGGTATGAAGGAAACTCGCAATCATATTACTGAGTGAAAGAAGCCAATCTGAAAAGGCTACACAGTGCATGATTCCAAGTATATGTCATCCCGGAAAAGGCAAAACTATGGAGACAGTAGAAGGACCAGTGGTTGCCAGGGGTTAGTGGGGAGGTAGGGAAGACAGGTGGAGCACAGAGATTTTTAGGGCGGTGAAACTACTCCGTATAATAATACTAAAATGGTGGATACATTGTCAAAAGCCATAGAATGTACAACACCAAGAGTGAACCCTAATGTAAACTATGCATTCTGGGTGATGATAATGTCCATGTAAGTTCATCCGTTGTAGCAAATATACTGCTCCGGTGGGAATGTTCTGATGAGGAAGGCTGTGTGTGTGTGGAGCAGGGGTATATGGGAAATCTCAGTACCTTCTGCTCAATTTTGCTGTGAACCTAAAACTGCTCTAAAAAATAAAGTCTATCCAAAAGGAGGGGAAATTAAATTTTTTAAAAGGGGGAAAGTGGATTGTAAAGCAATAGCTTTCCTGTGTTTGTTTTGCTGTTTTTAAAAAGTAAACAGGAAAATCTGGAAGGATATAAAAATGGGGATGGTATTTACTGAGCAATATTCCCATGATAGGCATAAGCTCTTTAAATGTTCTGTATCATTTAATTTCCATGAAAATGTTACAACACAGGTAACAAGATGAGGAGTGATATTTAATATCCTTCTTTTTCCTGGCAACCTTTTCTTAATGCCATTTGGCTATCAAAACAATTGCTTATTTTTTTATTTTTATTTTTTAAAAGATTTTATTTATTTATTTGATAGAGAGACAGTGAGGGAGAGGGCACAAGCAGGGGGAGTGGGAGAGGGAGAAGAAGGAGTTTCCCGCTGAGCAGGGAGTCCGATGCGGGGCTGGATCCCAGGACCCTGGGATCATGACCTGAGCCGAAGGCAGATGCTTAACCGTCGGAGCCACCCACGCGCCCCCAAATAAAATCTTTAAAAAAGAAAAAATAGAAGATTTATTTTATTTTGAGAGAGGGGCAGGGGCAGAGGGAGAGAAAGAGAATCCCAAGCTGACTCTGCACTGAGCCCAACGGGGGGCGGGGCTCGATCTCACCACCTGGAGATCAAGCCAAAGCCAAGAGTTGGCTGCTTAACCGACTGCGTCACCCAGGCACCCCAAAACGATTGCTTCTTAACGATGCAGTTTGGGGTCACTTTTATAGTAAGAAAAAAAGTATTTTGAAGAATTTAAAGGACCCAGAAAAATAACCACTCCCTTCTGTCCTTCCCAAACAACTTAGTGTTCTGCAGGATTTGACTTACAGTCAAGCTTCTCTGCCACCAACCCCGGCCCCAACCCCCTCTCCTCCCCAGCGCCCCCATCACAGCCTCTGTGCTTGATTTCACCGACTCTGAGTTGATAGAGCCTACACCTGTTCTCAATGTGTCCTGCTTCTCGTCAGTCTGCCCTACATCCTTCCTGCTTCCCTGGGGACCACCGATCTGGATGCCAGTGAATTTGGATCAACTTATTTCTGTCTTTGAGGGAGCCAGCTATGGAGGAAGGGCTGCAAAGCCCCAGGGCCTGGGTGGTGACATACTTCCAACCACGAAGCCACTGAAGAAAGATAACAGTCTCTTCAGGGAAGAATACGGAGTGTGCATTTCATCCATGTCGGCCAGACTGGGGTGCTCCGGCCGTTTTAGTCAGCATCTTCCTAGATAAACTTCAGGGCTACTGTTTCCCCAGATGGTATAGGTCTTAGGGTCGGGGGCACCAAGGCTGACTTGCCCCTCTCTCTCCTGGCTGTCTGATCATCTGCCAGGGAGGGGCCCCAGCAGCCACCCCTCCTCAGTCATAAGCCTCTATCACATCACAATCGGATGCCGGAGCAAGGCTCCCCGTGCCTGGGAAGCAGGTGCCCCGAGCTACCCCTGCTGGCTCCTCATCCTCCAGATAGGCTGCACCAGGGGTGGAGAGAAGGCATGACGTCCTGCCCTGGTACACCCCAGATACCACCTGGGCCCTCTGGGCATAGTGTTCAGCACTGACCGCTCTTGTGGTGAATGGCCCTGCTAGACTGGGAGCTCCGAGTGGGCACGGTCCCGGGCTGCCCTAGTCTTGGTTGCGTTCCCAAAGCCTGGTACACAGTAGGTGCTCAAGAAACGGGTGTGGAATGAATGAATGAAGAAGCTCCAGGAAGCAGGATCTAGCTACAAGCCATCAGGTCCCCCAAGCCTCTGCCTCCACATTAGCTCACTTGACTCAACCTCATCCTTCTCACAGGGCTCAGAGGTCTAGGTAACTGCCCCGGGTGACACAGGAAGCAAGGTCGAGGCTGGGCTTTGAAGCTCCAAGAGTGACGTGAAGGTGGGAACCTCTGACAGCCCTCCACCCTCCCCACTCCAGCCCCACTCCCCACTCCCGCCAAAACCTTTTCTTTCTCCCTCTGAGGCCTGCTCAGCCATAGCAGGTGAAGCAGTTTTCCTTGAGCCCATGTGCCACTGATCAGCAGGCCTTGATGAGACGAGCATAGCAGGCATTTCAGAGCAAAAATTGTGCACGTGGGCATAGAGACCCCCCCCCCACACACATCTGAATTAATTTAAGGAATGTTTGTCAAATTGCTTCTTGAAACATGTGGAACTAAAAATGTTCACATAGGAGTGACCATCTACTCCCTGGACTGCGGGTCACATTCACATCCAGGAGTGTATCCTTCCATGACTTTCTCCAAAAGGTCATTTGAAGTAAGGAGCCTAAGAGCCGGGGCAGAGGGCCTCATAATGGGGAAGCACGGGAGGGTGAGAAAAAGGGGGTGCAAGGGAGCATGGGAAAATGCAGGGATGCCAATGAGGGCGTGAAAATGTGGGCAAAGGTGGACAGGAGAGTGTTGGCGCAAGGGAGGACGGGGGGGGAGTGTAGCTCAAAGAGGGCGGGGAAAATGAAGGACAAACAAGGGCGGGGAGGATGGGAGGCCCAGTAGAGGCTGAAAGAGAGCACACCGCGCGCGAAGGCCAGAAGAACTCAGGACCCTTTGACTGAGGCTGTGAGGTACCTCCTCCAAGCCCCGCCCCCGCGGCAGCCCCGCCCCCGTCCCGGCTCCTCTGCGGGGACCAGGCGCCGGTCTCGGCCTCTCGCGCCCCCTGGCGGCCATCAGTGGAAGCGCGGCCCTACGTGGGCCCCTATTCGAGGTTCCCAGCCAGCCCCGGGCAACTGCACCTCGGTGCCCCAGACGGCCGCTCTGACCGTCAGTGGGAGGCAATGGAGTGCGTCTGTGACGCAGCCTCCAACTCCCCCTAACCCACACCAACTGAATCGGTGCGAAGAAATATAATTGTGCAGGCATCCGGCGAATTACAAATGTCAGATATTTGGCCAAAAAAAAAAAAAAAAAAGAAAACTAGTGCAATCTGTCAGTAATAGTTCAGAGGTTCTAGAAAACAGTGAAAAGCCGCTCTTGAAGGCAAGCTACAGAGCCATTAGGAAAACATTTAAATATTGTAGAAATAGGAGAACTACTCCAATATTTGCCTAATAATAGAGCTTAGGGTGTGTTAAGATAGTCCTAATTCATTTCTCCCCTGCCTGGTCTCCTTCCTTATATTTTAGAAGATGTGTGGTGGGTTTTTTTTAAAAGATTTTATTTATTTATTTGAGAGAGAGGGAGAGAGCATGAGTGGGGAGAGGGTCGGAGGGAGAGGGATTAGGAGACTCCCCACTGAGCGGAGAGCAGAACATGGGGCTTGATCTCAAGACCCTGAGATCATCACCTGAACCGAAGTGAGACACCTAATCGACTGAACCACTCAGGGGCTCCTCTTAATCCTTCTTATAAAGACACCAGTCATGTTGGCTCAGGGTCCATTCACAGTGACATCGTTTTACCTTCATTTATCAATATTGGTCCATCAGTTGTAACAAATTGATCACAAATGCAAGATGTTAATAATAGGACAAGCTGTAGGTGGGAGGGAGAGGAGATAATATGGTAACTCTCTGTACTTTACATTCAATTCTTCAAGCCTAAAACTTAAAAAAAATAAACTCTATTAATTAAAAAAAAAAAGAAGGAGTGCCTGAGTAGCTCAGTCAGTTAAGTGTCTCACTCGTGATTTTGGCTTGGTTCATGATCTCATGGGTCGTGAGATCGAGCCCCGCACCTGGATCCACGCTCAGCAGGGAGTCTGCTTGGGATTCTCTCTCTCCTTCTCCCTCTGCCCCTGCCCCCACAAAATAAATAAATAAATAAATAAATAAATAAATAAATATTTTTTAAAAAAGAAAACACTGGTGGTGGCATCTGTTTTTTGCTCCAAACTCATTTGCACAATCTGACATTTATTTTTTAAGTCTTTTTTATTTTTATTTTTATTTTTTAGAGAAGTTGCCTCTTTTTTTCTTTTTTTTTTAATTTTATTTATTTATTTGACAGAGAGAGACACAGCGAGAGAGGGAACACAAGCAGGGGGAGTGGGAGAGGGAGAAGCAGGCTTCCCGTGGAGCAGGGAGCCCGATGTGGGGCTCGATCCCAGGACTCTGGGATCATGACCCGAGCTGAAGGCAGATGCCTAACAACTGAGCCACCCAGGTGCCCCTTTTTAAGTCTTTTTTAAAATGAGGAAATAGAACACAAATGCAGAAAACTACATAAAACACATATGCCTGCTAAATGCAACAAATGAATCGTGACAAAGCCCAGACAACACTGCAAGCATGTTTTGTAACTTTACATAAAAAATATAGTACCATAAAAAAATATAGTACCATAGGTGTGATTTTTATAACTTGCTGGGAAGGCACCGTGGTATGTTCCTTAAGAACATGGAAATCTCAGGGTACCTGGGTGGCTCCATCGGTTAAGCATCCGACTCTTGATTTTGGTTCCTGTCAGGTATCAGGGTCGTGAGATGGAGCCCCGTGTTGGGCTCCGTGCTTAGCAGAGAGTCTGCTTGAGATTCTCTCCCCCTGCTGCCCCCCATCATGACCCCAGGGTCCTGGGATCCAGCCCCATGTGGGGCTCCATGCTCAGGAGGGAGTCTGCTTCTCCCTCTCCCTCTGCCCCCCGCCCCCGCTAGTGCTTGCTCTCTCTCTCAAATAAATAAATAAAATCTTTTAAGAAGGACATGGAAATCTCTTCTCTGCTATTTATTCACTGGGGGGCCCAGGGTTGTTTTGAGATAAATGAAATAGTAAATCCCCATTTTACAGGTGGATAAACCTGAGGCATGAAAGTTAAAACACCTGGCCAATGTCACAGATAGAAGATGGTGAAACTCAGGGCGCCTGGGTGGCTCAGTTGGTTAAGCGACTGCCTTTGGCTCAGGTCATGATCCTGGAGTCCCGGGATCGAGTCCCGCATCGGGCTCCCTGCTCAGCGGGGAGTCTGCTTCTCCCTCTGACCTTCCTCCTTCTCATGCTCTCTCTCTACCATTCTCTCTCTCTCTCTCAGTAAATAAATAAAAATCTTAAAAAAAAAAAAAAAGAAGATGGTGAAACTCAGACTTTGATCCCAGGGTCTCAATCTGAACCACCACATAGATGTTTTGTTGCAGGACAGCTGTCCGGCTCTCTGCCTATGAGTATATATACATAGTCTTTCTTACGTTAAAATATAGAATCCATCACAGCCTTGGAAGTTCAATGGTGTGGAAAAACTATCCCAACACAGCAGATTCCAAAGTTGGGTTTTCAGAACAATCATAACTTTTGAAAAAGCAGAGCAGATACCTGTTCTGTAGAGAAAAATGACCAGAATGAAAGCCATAAAAACACCAGTGTTGGTGAGCTTTTGAACAACTTGGGGCTCAACCCCACGACCCTGAGATCAAGACCTGAGCCAAAACCAAGAGTTGGTCACTTGACCGACTGTGCCACCCAGGTGCCCCAGGAAAAAACTGTTCTTAAGAAAATGGAGGGATGTTGTGATTGTAAAAGGAGAACCCAGAGGACCCTAGGACAAGTGGCCAGGCTGAATGACGGGTGCTGTCTTCAACCAGGACCTCTGCATGCTTGTAAGGGTTTTCTTGCCATCTCAGCAGATGCTCCTTGCTGAGTCTGGCGGGGATTTCGTGATACCGGAAACCACGACCTCATCTTTGACCACAGGAGTGAGAGAGAATTTTCAGAAACAGACAAACAAACAAACAAATAAACAAAAGACAGCTCTGGCCCGAAACTTCGCTGTGATCTCAGGGATCCTGGAAAACAGTCCCACCCAGGGTTGGAATTCCCTCTGCAGGCTGCATGCCAACTGTTTTTCTGTTGTTCTCTCTTAAAAGATCCAGGAGAGTTGGTGTGTCCGTTTCTTGGCACCCTTACCCTGCTCCAGTGTTTAACTAACAGTCTGGGATCTCCTCTTCCATCTCTGGAGGTAGGAGCTCTTGTTCTTCCCATTTTACAGTCAACAATCCGGGGGCACGATAGGGGGGGAATCCTTGCGTTCAAGCCACACTACTAAGATTTGAAGGCTGCCTTCTGAGTCCGAAGTCAGGGCTTCTTCGTGATGGGTGGCATCTGCCCATTCACTAATGCATGCAACTTTTCATTCAGTGAGCATCCATTGAGCACCCAGTGGATACCAACCACTGTACCATACAAAACAGTCGCTGTCCCTCCCATCACGAACTCAGATACTTGAGGGACACAGATGTGTAAACAGACAATTACAACA